AGATTAAACTCAGTATCTTCACACTGAGCTATATCCTCAGCCCTTTTTTTAAATGTTTAATTTATTTTGAGACAAGGTCTCAATAGGTCACTAAATTGCCCAGACTGGGCTCAAACTTGCAATTCGCCTGCATCAGCCTCCCAGAGTTCTAGAATTATAGGCATAAGCCATGATGCCCAGTTTAGAGAGATTCTTGTTGTAAGGCTTGATTCAAACACGACTCTCTCAGTACCTAACCTGTCTGCCAGCAGAGGTATTGTTCTCAGCTCAGCATCAGTGCTCTGGGCAAGCACAGGAGAGGAGATGGAGCATGGAATCTTCCAAAACACCAAGATATCTGAAGACACCCAAACACTGACACTGGACACCCCAAGGGCACTGCCCACTGAGGCATAAAACATCCAGGGAAGTTTGACCATTGAGCTTTACTGAGATCCTCCCACCGAATGTCCCTTTGCCTTCTTTCAAGCCCTATTTAAAAAAAAAAGCCTGCTTCTCTTTGCTCCCTACAGATGAACTTTTCGCCCTCTGTCTGCCTGCACTCGGGCACAATGAATTCCACACCATGTTGCCTTTACACAAATCCAGTAGTCTTAGCTAGTCTCTGCCTTGTGCCATTCTTTACACTTGTGACTGAGATGACTGAGTTAAAGTGAGGAGAAATTTCAATTTAATCACTACTGGAAGCAAGATACAAGGAAAGATTTGTATTGTGGCTTGTGTCTAGATGTCCCCCCAAAGCCACATGCAGTCATATGGCTTTTTCAGAGGTGGCTGAATTTAGAGGGTGTAATGGTAGGATTAAGAGTATGATTACTAAATCAGTCCACTGATTGGTTTGGCCCTGCTCTAATCCCAGAAGTCTGTATAAGGTAAGTGGGGCAGAAAGATGGTTTAAGGTCTCTTGTTATTTTGCTGTCTTCTGCCATTATGAATGGTTGCCCTTCTGCCATGTGCCACCCTGCCTTGGAGCCACCCAGTTATGAGCTGAAAGGTCTACAAACTTGAGCTAAATAAACCTTTCCTCCCTCAACTTCAGGTGTTGAGCATATTTGTCTCAGTAATGAGAAAAGCAGCTAAGACAATTCTCTAGTGAGAACCCAGAAGGAGAAAACTTGAATGGCATCACTGATAGCGAAAATCTTGTAACCAGTTTTTAGCAGATATAAACCTGGGGCCATCAATTTGAAAGACAGAATCTTCATATCATGCAATACTCCACTCACAGACCCCTACAGGAAATGTCTCTTTCACACTCTAAGCCCTGTTTTATAGATGAGGATTTGGAGTTTCCAGAGGTTGGTGGCTTAGAAAGATTAAACAAGGAAGGCCTGGAGACCACAGCAACCAACAGTTGAGGATATATACTACTTTCCACCACGCCACTGTTTTCAAAAGTTCCCATATTTCTGCCATTGGCACACTGAATTCCATGTGCTACAACAGATGGGCTGTTATTTAACCTTTTCATTAAATGAACTATTATTTTCACAGAGTTATTTCAATGAAGTACAAATTTCCACCCCATTGAAGCCTAGTAACCTTTCTTATAAAAGAAGACATACATTAAAACAATGAAATCACTAAGTCAAGGACTGAGCATTGACAGGGCCACGTCTTCTCAAACATCCTAGTGGTGAGCCTGAGGGACTCCACACTACACCTTTTTGATCTGTGTCACAGCTTCCCACACTATCATTTCCTGCCACCTCTCCCCAGGTACTCATCACATAAATCTTTTCCTTCTGAGCAGGCTGTGGATCCTGCACATATTCAGTTCGCTCTGCCAGGAAAGTCCTTCCTCATAAAATTCAACCCAAGCAATTATGAATCCCTCAAGACCTAATGCCCATGTTACTCCTCCAGTTCTCTTCCTCTTCCCCAGCACAGCCATTCTCTGCCATTAAACCACAGCACTTCACAACAGGTAATAGTACTTGTAACTAAACAAGTGCTTGTAGCAAGATACAAACTTGAAAAATACTTCAAAAAGCACAGAGAACACTGCTAACTACTGTAATGGCACTTAAACAATGCATGACAGTTATTCATTCCATGTCTGTTTCTCCTGGAGATCTTGAGAATGCTCACAGGCGCAAACACTACAGTTTTTAATTCTTCTAAGAACAAGGAGAGAGTAGACATTCAACAACAAATACCCATGGAGCACTGGCTGGGTGTAATGGAGAAGAACATAAATAAAGACGGGTGAGACATCTCCACATACAAGGACGACCCTTACAGTGGTCTCCACTGTAATGGGATTTTACCTGGGCAACTGCCCTCCTATCATATTGGTATTCACTAAAATAGAAAAAAACGCCTAAGGAAAAATTATCATATTACTGATATTCCTCGGTTTTGTCTAATTCTCTTTAGCTTTGGAGGATCAGAAAAAGCTGTTGCATGTTTAATCTCTTCTTTGTATTTCACTTCAATAGTTTATAAAAATACGTTAACTATAGCCTACTTACAGCTTTTAATGTTATGAATTCCTTCATTAGTAACTATTGCATAATGAAAATTTTAAAATGCTAACACTGATTTTCCTTCAATGGGAACAAAATTTATTTTTTCTGATGCTTTCAGGATTTCTTTATCCTGAAGTGCAAATAAATTTGTTATCTATTCACCTGCTCATAACTAGAAGAGAAATTTAATTAAAGTAAGCGAATGTTGCCTATTATGAACATAAATTTCATCATTAGGCAAATGCATAAAAAACCTTGGATATCCTCTTAAAGTAATGGTTTGTTTCCTATCTGAAAAGCAGTTTCTATTAATATATTAATTAGGGACAAAAGTCACAAATTGAAATAATCATACATTCATGGGACTGTTGTTTGTCTCAGCATACACCAATCATCTATAATAAGAAAAGAAATTGGAGTGACCACAAATAAGAGAAAGGTGGATTTGGGAAAAATGGACTGAAAGTACAGTCCGCACATCCCGACCACTGCATGGAAGGTGCACACTACAGTCACAAGTGTCTTCAAACCACACAACCCTGCTAGGTAGAGCAGAGCATTCCTGTGTCCCGGCGCCCACTCCACCCTGACCTCCCTGTAAGTCTGTTTAGAGGAAGATCAACTGGACAAGTGACCATGCCACCACACTGTCACACACAGGATCAGACAAGAAGCAGCTCTTTGGCTTTTCCACATAATTAATGAGGTCATCATTTCAGGTGGTTTGCTCACACATCTACAACTCACAGAAGATCCCCTCAGAGAAAAAAGCACACATACTAGACTTAATGGGCACATGCTAAAATTTAGCAAAGACTTAAATCTGCATGTTTTAGAAATCACTTGAAAATGCTTACAATGAGTAACGCTGACATCTACACTGCTTGTCATAAAGCCTCAACATCTCAGATATCAACTACACCTCAAGAACTGAGAGTTTAATATAAGTAACAATGCCAGGGCTGTACTAGTCCGCATCCAGAATAGTTAAATTGAAACTGAGACAGGGTTCCTCTAAATAAAACTCTAAACTAGCTCTCAGCAGAGAGAGCTAATAGCAGAACGGCCTGTTCCCAGACGTGGAAAATGCCGAGATGTTTAAATGTTAGCAAATCACTTCTTGGTTTGACAGATCTGCCTAATCTTCGAAAGGGCAACTTTCCATTTGAATACTAAACAGGCATTCATGGTTGACCCTCAAAGATACAGAACTGGGCATTTACTGTTTACTAGAAGAGGCTGTAGGATGCTGGGAGAAAAAATGGTATGCTGGGCTGCTTTGTGTGATTTTCCTCGGGTAGGAGGCACAAGATGATTAAAGATGAACATTTGTGTTTTTCAAAAATCTTGAACCAATCAAGATGGTCCACTTATTTCACTGTAGGCTGCAGAAATGCACACTGCAGAGCATTTATATCTAAGAGATGGAACATTTATATACTGACAGGTATGTTTCAAATATTATCACTCAGAAGTGAAAGAAACAAACAGAACTCATAATTTCACACTGCAGAACATTTATATACTGACAGATATGTTTCAAATATTATCACTTGGAACTGAAGGAAACAAACAAATTCTTGTAATTTCATTTTAAACCATTTTACTGTAGCATCACCTGGCCTCACCTGCACGTCTCCATAAATGCAGGCATACACTCATTTTCGCAAGAGGCCATCAGGGTTGGCCTCGGAGGAGCAGCTTGAGCAGTTCTACTTGCATAACCTGAAGGAAAGCTCTGGAAAGTACTGTCTCCATGGGCGAAGGGATGAGATAGGTCAGGGGCGGAGATTTAAGGAAGAATCATTTTCACTTCCTCAACAAGAAAGGATTCTAAACACATATGGAAGAGCAGCTATTGGTATGGAGAACAGTGTGAAGCCTTGAATTGAAGGACTGTTCTTTCTAACCTTAACCCCCTCTTCTACCCTTCCCTCAGTTCAAAAGTAACTAAAGAGTAGGTTATCTTACAATTTCTAGTAAAAACATGCATTTTTCATCGATGAAAGAAGTAAATGATAAATGGGGACAGAAAACAGAAATATAAGAAGGAATACATCTAAGAGGAATCTCAGCAATGTAACCGATACAGGATAAAAGTGAATTGCTACTATGTATTTTTTAAGTCTATAACCTTCCTTTAAGCCACCAAATAAATGTTGTGGGGCCTTTGATCATTCTATCAGGGTAAAGTTGTCTCCATGCTGCAGAAAGGCACTAAATGTATCCTTTTCCTGCAAAATTTAATACAGTTAAAATTCTATTCAAAAACATGAAACCTAACCCTAGATTTCATTCAAATGGCCTGCGTCTTCTCTTCTCTGATATAGCAAAATGCAACGTTGCTTCAAGTTCATAAGGCAGAAGGCTATAGTTTTCGTTCTGAAAGTCAGATCTTTGATTTCTGATGAAGTCCTATTACAGTAAATTGAAGAATGAAAGAAAAGGGGAGCCTGTTGAGTAAAGAAGAACATTTCCTGAGCTCCCGTTTGCTCTGGGAAAGAGTAATTAATGTGAAGGAGAACTTACTGAACTAATATTTTGCTGATTTTTCTTCACTCATTCAATCTCTGGAGTCTCTTTTACTGCTGTGCCAGCTCCTACTTCCTTTTTATAGAATACCTTTATTATAAGAGAAGAAAAAGAACTATAAGCTTATTAGAATTCAAGTCCTAGATCCGGCAGTTATAAAAGGCCATCTCTCAGGTTGTATAGTAATGTGAATACTGCTTCTATTTATGATTACCAACATTATGTGAATCAATGAAATAGTTCATTATGATCATAAATGTCTAACTTTGGTTTCATATCCCCAAAACATACAAGTAACCCTCTAATGGTGGCTCTAAATCTTGACCAACACCTTAGTAGGCTGTAGGTCATTCGCTTTTAGAATATAAATTGCCAAACTAGAGTTTCATTCTTTAAATATACATATATGTCACATGTGAGTAGAGAAAAATCAAAGCACATATTACAAAAGCTCACTAAGAAATTAACATTTAATTTGAAAATAACATGAAATTTTCAGCAACTGCTATTCTAAATGCAAAGATGCCTTCTTTCCCACGAAAACATTGGCTCTATTACAACATTAATTCAAAGTTTATTTTCCTCATTCGGTTCCCCTAGCCCTTCTCTCTCCAGGCCTATCAACACCGTCTGTGCCTTTCAAACACAAAGTGAAATAAAAGTCGGAAGCAGGCTCCAGCAAAAGAAAAGGGATTTGGGAAAAAGCAGGTGAGGACAGAATGACTCCACCTCAGGACACTGGGTGATCCCGTGGGCCCCAGTGCAGGTGGAAGAGAAATGTCTTCCTCAGCAGGCTAAAATCAGGAACATCACAGATCACAGGCATCAAGAGCCAAACAACCTCTTTTTTTTAACCCTTTCAGAGAGAATTTTCCATTTCTCAGCACAGCCTGGCCCCCTGGTCGAGGTCGAAGAGCTGCCTGACCAACACACCTGAGAGCCTGGGCTTGCTAATTCATCAGGAAGGAGAAAACACTCCTGAAGCCCTTGCTTCATAGAATTTATATTTTTAGTTAGACATTTGTTTCACTGTAAATGACCAGGCCAATTCTATATTATGATATTGACTCATGATCCATTTTTATAATTTTAAAACAGAATTCAAGGTTATGCACCCATTATTCCTCAAAATAAAAATACGAAACTTTAGGACTTAGCTATGAACTTATAAATCTGTAGACATGTTATCTACACGGATACTCAAAGAGCAGGAAGAAAATGATTTCATATGAATTCCTCCATTTTCGAAGTAAAATCTGTGTAGGAGGTTAGGACTTCTTCCATGAGTTAAACTTTAATATTCAGCTAATTATCAATTGTATCTAATGTACAGTTTGAATTTGTAACTCCAAACAATGATGACAAACTAATTCAAGAGAATATTTGGAACTTTTATGGTTTTGAAGAAATAAACATAATATACCTGGCAGAATATTCAAACAATCAGCAAAATGTCAGATAAGGAGGGAGGAAACCCATTCCTTACAAAACATAAAATTTTAAGGAAGTAATAGGAAGGGGAAAAAATCATTTTTCAGGCATCCCTATTCAAAACCCAAACTCTGAAAACATTTTTTCAAAAACAAATTCAAAATTTTGTATGTGGCATTCAGTTACCACACTTGGAAAATTCCATACCTGAGCTCATGTGATGGACGTCAGTGAATACACAGCTGTACCTAAACTACTGCTCAAACTTACTTTCCATTTATGGGTATAATGTGTATATGAAACACAAATAGCTCACTCTGTATGTATGAAAATACTGCAAAACCTAAAACCTCCAAAATGCACGGTGCCCAGCGTGACCTAAAAGGGATACTCTGTACCGCCTACTCACCGTACTAATGTTTCGTTGAGTCGTCTTAATTCTCTGAATTTCAGGAGTATCTGCCACGGTGGAATAGTTAGAAAGCATTTTCTCTGCTTCACCTTTATACTTTTTCTAAGAATATAAACAGTTGATATGAATTGGGGAGGTAAGAGGAGGCAGAGGGACAGAATGGCACTGGCCCTGCCAACCCTAGCGCACCACACAGCTCTAAGTCGTGCCTCCCAAGTCAGACTTGTTCATGCAACAGGAAAGCCAACAGCAGCAAGAAGACAGTCCAGCCAGGCAGCCTCTGCTCTGCTCAAACTTACTGGCACCTCGGTCCACCCAGACACTCCGGGTGATCTCTATGTGTCTCCTAACTGTAGGATCTACTCTGACGGGTGGGGTTCGGGACCTTTTTCAAATGGCCCAGCAGCACTGCTGAAGTAACCTGACCCTATACCTACTATTTATGCTTTTTGTTACTAATTTATGTAAAGATGTGTTTAGTTAAGGTAACAGTGTCAGCATTTTTGCAAATGAGATACAAATATTTCAATTTTCTATCTACTATAATAATGACAAAACCTGAACAATAGCTTATACATAGTACTAATGCATATGTAATATTTAGAATGTAAGTATTGTCCTAAATACTTTGCACACATTAACTTATTTAATCAATCCCCTAATCATACCCGTCTTATAGAAGGGGAAACTGAGACCCCAGCTACTAAATGTCAGAGCTACGATTTAAACTAGGCACCCTGGCTAGTGAAGTTAACATGACAGAATTCTGTGCTTGGAAGGAAAACACCTGCTCTCCGTGTGAAAATGCAGCACAGCATCAGGACATCCTCTCCAGTATTCCACTGTCTCCTCCGGCATTAAAACCCCAAAAAGTCAGATGTACCCTAAGAGTCACACTCGAACACTCCACATGTGACATTTCCACCCTGCCATCTTGACACTCCCATTGAATCTGAGATGTTTAGACTTTTACTTAGGTTTTAACCAGAATTCTAACAAATGTGATGAGATTTTGTCAAAAATTATTCTCGGCATAAATTCTATTAATCAAATTTAATCTCTTGCTCTATTTTCTATAACTAATTTCTTTTTGTTTTCATTCTCCTTTACTATTTTTTCCATTAAGATTCATTCTTTTCTATGTCATTTTTACGGCAAAAATAGTATTCACTAATGAAAGTTTTTGCCCAAATCAATATAGAAGTAACCTCTTTTTTCTGCAAAAAATTTTCTTTTGAGATCATTATTTCTCTCAGCTTTTTCAAGACACTATGTTACAGGCATGTACTTGTGAGATATAAATTTTACTATAAAAAAGCTCTTCCTTCACTTTTAGTTAACATTCAATTTCACCTCACATTTTGTGCAGGTTTAGCCACTACTATTTTATTCAGAGCTGATTATTCTAACAACAATATTCATTATGAAGTGGTCAAGAGTCAAATCTTTGGAATTTTTTTTCCTGGACTATGATCAGAGAACATTCAAGCCAAGAATGTAATGAAGTCAAAAATTTAAAAAGAAGGTCAAATGTCTTTGTACTCAAAACAAAGGGACTCAAAAAGGGGGCCTCTGGCACAGTATAATGTCTGCTGAATTGAGGTGTCCTTTTAATTAATAAATTTAATCATTTGGCCAACGGTTTCTTAATAATAGAATGTACTGACTTTGGATGCAATGTCTTCAAAAATAATTCACAGCAGCACACAAAACACAGGGATTGGATATTAGAAACCAAAGTATAAATAATTTAAAGAGGAAAAAATATCACCAATAGAAAAGTAGGAAGATAGATTTTTCACAAATGAAAAGGAAACCAAGAGACAGAGGGAGACTGGAGGGGAAGACAGGAATGTGCTGAGGATTAAGATGTTTTATGTCCATGTCCCAACTCTTCACAAGGAGTGTCATTATCATGTACTGCAGACACGTTAATAAAAAACTTTTAAAGAGTACATTATTCTAAACACCTACAACTTCTACCCACCTGGCTGTAGATTTCAGATGCCCTCTTGGCTCGAAGCATATCTGGGATATCCATGTTCACTTGCATTCCTTTTCCCTTAATTTCATTTTCTAAGTCTTTCTTATACTGTTTCTAAAAGAGTAGAAAATGATCATGGTGACTGCTTCATCTTTAAGAGCAATGTAGACATCTACATTTTTCAGCAGCAAAGGCCTTCCTGTGGAAGGCCCATTTATACTCTCTGGACAGGACTCCCGGTATGTGTGAGGCTCTCACCTGGCTGGCCATCTCGGATGCTCGCTTAGCTCTCTGGACTTCGAGAGTGTCTGGACTGACCTGCATTCCTTTCCCTTTAACTTCAATCTCCAGGTCTCTTTTGTAGTCTTTCTGCAAAAAATGAAACACTCTGTTAGTGCCCTGTAATCACTTAGAATCTCGCTGAAAAACTATGCTGTCATTTGAAGGTGAGGACCAGTTTATCTGAATTAACTTGGATACTTTATTTCTTTTATTTTATTAGAATGAGAGTTTTAACTTTTTGTAGAAATACGACATGGAGAGAATTAGTCGTAAGTAAGGAGGAAGATTTTGTCTACAAATCTGAATTAAGAAAGAGAATAGAACAGGGCGGTGTTATATAACAATATAATAAACTCCATAAATTACTGGTTAACATACAACTCAGTTGAAGAATGTTAACAAAAAGTCATTGAAATTTGTTGCTTTTCACAGTGGTTGCAACTCACTGCTCCCCACTCCAAACCAGTCTGCTTGAATGAGTTTGGCCCAATTCTCTGGGCCCTGTAAGGCTTAAAATGATTATAATCCATCCCTGGCTCTGAGTGACTGGTTCAGGGATAGGCACATTATTTTTCTACTGAAGATCACAGACATCCTCTTTCCTTCTGGACATGAACAAAGAAGGATACAGCCAAGCAGCTGCTGAAACTTTCTTTACAAACAGAATAAAACTTCCCTTAGAAATGAAAGTCAGGAAGGAAACTGAATCACATTATAATTATGCATCTCTTAATGCAGGGGATACATTCTGAAAAATACGTTACTCTGAAATTTTGTTCCTGGGTGAATACCTTAGAGTGTATTGACAAAAATTTCCACAGGATTGCTCACTACCCACCCAGATAATGTGGCATTTATGGCATCTAGTCTGTTGCTCCCAGGACCAGGCTACGCCAAACAATGCAAGGTCAAATCAAGCACAGGAGAACACAATGCAATCGGAAGACTTGGTAACCATAGGATATATGAGGCTGCTGCCAGAATAACATAATATGCTATTCTATACTAAATTGCTTTTTTAATAAATAGAAAGAATACACAATTGATAAGAAGTATGGTAAACACACAGATCAGTTTAAAGAAACTTACGTTCATTTTCAAGAATTATAGCCTGAACATAATGGTATGTGTTATACTTTTATGTAACTGGCAAGGCAGTAGGTTGTTTACACCAGCACAACTGCAAATATGTTGCACTGCAACATTAGGATGGCTGTGGTGCTGCTAGGTAGTGGGAATTTTGCAGCTTTATTACACTCTTAAGGGCTCACCATCAAATGTGCGGTTTTTCATTGACCAAAAGTCATTATGTCGTGCGTGACTGTATTTGGGCCTTTGATGAAGCCAGGGCTAAGAATTTGTCTACTGTTCAGTCATAAAAACAATAAGTTATCTGCTTTTTTAAAAGACAGCTTAGGGGCTGGGGATTTAGCTCAGCGGCTTAAGTGCCTCCCTTGCAAGCAGGAAGTCGTGAGTTCGATCCCTGGTACCAATAAAAACGAAAAAGACAAAAAAAAATTTGATAATAAAAGTCAGCAAGCAATTTATATTTGTGCTTTTTCTGTAAGTCATTCTTTAAAAAATTACTTATAGAATATGAACTATAACATTACATTTCTTCTAACAATAATTGTTGTATATTTACACACTTAGGATTGGTAGATTCTCTGGTATAAGGTAAATGCTGGTTCGCTTATTTGTGCTGTTCTGACTAATCCTTTTAAAGCCATTTAAAAATTTCAAATAAGTTGAAAACAAAATTCACAATCATAGAGAAATATTATATTTTCCCTTATGTGTTCATAACTTGGCTTGTTTTTGTTGTTGTTGTTGTTTAGTACCAGGGATACTCATGACTTCACACTTGCCAGGCAGGCAATTGTACGCTGAGCTAAACCCCTAGCCCTACTTGGCTTGTTTTTAATAGATTACACACTCTCAGTTGCACTCTGCTAATTAAAAAGTCAAGCAATAATGTTTAACTACCAAAAATAATATTCCATTATTATAGTGTCTGATAAAAGCACTCTGTTTTCAGTAGATCTATATAAAGCCCTAAAACAACACACTTAATTTGAAGGCTAATGTACGTAGAACCTGAGGCACTACTTAAAAACCACCACCAAGATTCCATGGTAGAAATATGTCACTCAATTTTGTGATATGAATTGTCATATCTAAAAGCGTTCTAAAGCATACAGACTACATCAGACACCAATTATATCACGTATTTGTTATTGCTACATAATAAGACATGCCCCTCTGTGTTCGAAGAGAACAAATCCTAATGCACAAGTGTACTGGTAGCCTTTGTCCACGTCAAATTGCTAATGTTGCCTGGCCAAGCCCAAAGATGCAGGAAGGTTTGACTAGTGGGGGGATCAGCAGCATAACCATATACAGTCACACCTCAAATTAAGCTTATGAACTTAATTTGTTTTACAAACTTATTTGTTTTACAAGGTGGGGAGATGGCTGAGTTTGTGTTTGTGTGTAGATGATGACTGTGGTCATGTTTATCACATGATGCAGAGTTTTCCGACAAAAGCAAAATTTTGCCCAACATGTTTGTTTGTGAATTGAATTATTTGCAAACAGAAGCATTCATGCGGTGAGGTGTTACTGTACTATATTAACCTTACTTGAAAAATAAGCTTTGGATATTAAAAAATAAAACACACGAAGTCCCAAACTTTAGTTGAAAGAAATTTAAAGCATTTTAATTTAGCAAAACTGGATACAACTATGATTATTTGCCAATCAGATATTCAGATTCTATAGATAGTAGCATCACCAATATTGGCTTGAGTTATATGTAACCCTAATACAACTGCCTCCCCTAAACCTATTTGCCCCTCGGTTTTCAGGAACAAAATTTGCACTATTTTCCTTATATCTGTCCTAAACAACAAAGAGAAATCTAAATCACCATATTATGGAACAAACAAATTAATTAACATAGTAATGAAAGCTCTGAATGCCAGCTTCCATGAAAGGCATGTATTTTAACAGTCTATTTCTAGGTAAAAGGGTAAAATATCTACTGTTTTCATGTTCCTTTTTCTAGGGAAAGGATACTTTCAACTGGCTTCCACTCTCATTCCATGAGGATCACTTTGAAAGCTTCTCTTCCAGCCCTGAAGCCCCCCGCCATTCTGCTACCCCATGCGCCAATTCAGTAACGTGAAGTGGTATTGGACAGTCCCTCCTTCTCACAATAAAAACTTTCAGACAATTCTGTGATTATGGTTGCTGGGTTCAAATATGCATATTAAAAGGGTAAGAATGCAAAGAGTATTCTGGGTAGGGAACCACTGCAATGATCCTGGTGATGGAGGTGGCAGTTTAGACTAGATTGAAGAAGAGATGGATTCAGAACACCATTATGAGGCTACAGAATAACACTTGGTACTGACAAGAATCAAAGTGACTTAACTGATGGGGTCGAGAAAACAAACTGGGAATGAGTGATAAACAGTGAAGATCTCATGATACATCTTCCACCTGGACACGCAAGGTAAATGGTGACTCATCAAACTGAATTGTAGCACACAGCTTTATTTTTTCATTACTGTTTCTGTAAGAATGAGGTTAGCCCCTATATAGTGACATAGAGCAGCCTCATAATATTAAGTGAGGAGAAAAAAAACCACAAAACAATATATGATCATATGTAAGTTTTTTTAAAGGCTACATGTGTACATTTATGTATATCAAAACAGATACGAAAGGCTCCAAAACTTACAAAAATGGTTCTTTCCTAGGAAGAGAACAGAATCAAAGAGGGGCAGCAGGGAGTTTTCAAGTCTATTCAGCTCTTCCTGCTGTTCATGCCTGGCTGCCACTTCAAAACAGAACCCTTATTGGTTAGGAATTCCTGCCATTTCTAGTTCCTCTGTCTGAACCAATCACAAGGACCTCATTGTCCAGCCAGTGCCCAGCCCTGGGAATCAGGCAGCTCCCACATAGCAATTCCCCAGGCAGTGAGTCAGCTATCTCTGGCCCATAGACTCCCTGGGAAGCAGCCAATAATGAGGCAGGTCTTCCTAATCCTAAAACTCACAGAAGAGCTCTAAATAGTCCCATGGAAACCCCACCTAACTTTGAGGTGCCTAACTCTCATCCCTTAACCTGCACTTCAAATTTCTCTCCACAAACACTGCTCACAAAAACACCTCATCCAAAACAGTCTCCCTTCTATGATTCTCTTCTCCTCTCAGAATCTCTGGGGAAGTGAAGGAGGTTTAGAGCCAGTAGTAGGATATTTCTTTAGAACAACACACATACATTCCAACTTCTGTAATTTTGTTAGGTGATATCTACCATATCTCAGCATCAAGACAAAACTTCTAAATTAATAGGATTTACACATATTGCATAAAGCAAAAATGATGCTGGATGAATAAACACAGTCATTGGGGATGACTAATGTCTCCGCCCTAAATGCTGACCCTAGTGACTCCGGGCGATGAAGTCAACAGAGGGTATTTTAAGAACTTGCAGTCACACAGAAATGGCAACTGTTCTCATGTGTCTCAACATGTGGTTTTCGAGTTCTCAGTAAGTGGGAAACACAGCTATGCCAAGCACACCATGATCCATTCTAAAGAAAACACAGTATGAAAACATTTATCATGACCTACATTAACACAAGGCTTGTTGTATTGGGGAATAAAGTATGTAGGAGTATGTTGCGTGTATGCGTGCACGTGTGTGTATTCTATTAAAATGCCTTTCCTCAAGCCTTCTTTGATGTATTTAAAGAATATGAGCAATGCAAAAACTATAAATTTTCAAATAAACACAACAGCTTTTGAAATGGTTTCCATTACTAACTGTCAAACCAGCCAGAGAACTTTGAGAATTCCATACACTAATTAAGTTGCTAATATGATTTGTTAAGTTTCAAAGCAGAAATTTAAGATCTCAAAATCTTAACTCTACATACTCACCTCACTGGCTATCTCAGTAGCTTTTTAGGCACGCTGCATTTCCAGGGCATCGGTGCCAACTTGCATTCCCTTCCCTTTAATTACTGACTCCAGGTCCTTCCTGTATCCTTGCTAAAGATACCATTTTACAACACTCACACATTCCACAGACAAACAAGTACCTACAGTCTCTGATAGTAAAAAATAGCCAAACATTTAAAAAAGGACAGCACACAGTCTAGTTTGTGCTCTGACTGATCACCTAGAACTAAATACTCTGCGTTGCATAGAAGTAAATAGTGCTATTCTTACTGAAGCAGGATGTATAAGCTCTGAAGATTCTCAGTGTCAAAAAGGTAATTACCAGGTGAGAATCTTCACAGAAGATTGTTCTGGGGATGGGTGGACAAGAACATGGGTGGAAGTGGATTGCTGATATAGAAAGAGAGCCGACTTTGGAGCCAGAACACTCAATAGCTGTGTGACCCTGGGAATGTTTCTTATCATTTCTGGGTTGCTCATCTCTAAAGCAGGGATGGTAATAGATTCATGCAGAGTCTATTATGAAAATCTGTGAGTTCATACACAGCACAGAGCCGAAGACACATATCAACAGTGAGAGCTTTCGTTGGTCTCTCATCACTATGTCCCGCACCCTTTCAGGTCTTTCTATTAAGGACCAATTTTTTGTGGCTCCTATTGTCATATTGCCACTCAACTGCTCTGCCATTAGTACAATTTTTCCAAATATTACTGACAAGTTATTACAAGACAAAACTGGGACTAGATTGCACTCAAACTTGCAATCTTCTTGCTTCAGTCTCCCAAAGGGCTGGGAATACAGGCATGTACCACGCCACCAGGTTTTTCCCATGTGTTTCTAATTCCACTAAAATGCTTTAAAAATCATTTATTTAAAGAGTATAAATATAGCCAAGATTAATATGTTTTTAATTACATGTAAATGTAGACTATTTTGTACCTGGGACACTGTTAGGTAACATAGGAAGTTAACTAAACCAATGTGTCACCATGAAAAGCCAAATCAGCACACTGCATTCTTCTGACCCCCAGCATAACGACTGGGTCAGTGGTGAACACAGAACACAGCTGATCTGAGCAGATGTTATCCTAGGACCCTCACTGGAACTCCATAAACCAGACATTCACTTCCAACTGGAATAACTGGCCATAGATAATGAATTATTCTTTTGTCCCCAGGAGTCATTTCATGGCAACAGCCACCCAAGAATGAGGTTCACAGGGAAGATAACAGAACTGCCAGATAAAGAAGAGGGATTCCCTTTAACACCAGAAGGAAACTGGATCTTGGACTTTTCTATCCTGTCGACTAACATATTCTTTTGTCACATAACCTAGTTCAAATTGGTTTCTATACTTAAGTAAGATGGCTGTCATCATTACCATCCTCCTCCTCCTCCTCCTCATCATCATCACTACAGTGTAATAGATGGAGAAGAAGCTTCAAGGTTTTGACCACTAAATTCAGCTACAGTTTTCTCAAGGCATGTTGCCACTATATGAGACCAGAACAATAGCCAAATAGGAGGGGAAAACTTCATTTCTTCTTATAAATGTCACAGAAAGTGAGAGGTGGCCACTTGCCTTTGATGAAAAGATTTACCTGAGCAGCTGGATGAGGACGGGGACACAGAAAGGGCTCGGGGCGGGATGGCATGAACCTTTCCACTGCCACCTCTGACAGATCACGAGAACATATCTTCCTAATCTTTTGCTTTTTACAGACTTGAAAGAGCAAGTCAAATCTCATAAAACTACTTTGGTATACTACATACATTTTCTCAAGAAAAAAAGGGAACAAAAGGTTATTTTTCTCATACTAGTGTAACAGAAGACTATTTAGTACTAGAACATAAGAATATAGTTGATTACTATCATCAACACCTACCAATTGTGGGATGTTTATAAACTGCAGAATATTTTTTGGTAAGAAAATTAACGGAAAATGTGTACACGTAAGTTGTGATATAAACGTACTCACCTCACTGGCTATTTCAGATGCTCGTTTTGCTCTTTGAATATCAAGAACTTCTGAACTAACTTCCATTCCTCTCCCTTTTATTTCATTTTCCAAATCTTTTTTATATTCTTTCTATAAGATAAAGATATAACCATTCAAAGCTCACCAGAAATTAAGTGTTTTTTTTTCCTAGAGATCACAGATAGGAGAAGTTATGACTAGGAAGGAAGAAATTAAACTACTAAATATTCATGCTTATTTCCCACAGAAATTTCATTTTCTCCTGTGAGAGTGCCATCTAGTATTTTCAGTCTTTTCTCTTATGCTTTCTCCCAAAGCTTTGGAGACACCATGCATTTCTGAAAAAGCTATCTTTCCTCTATGTGGTAAGGAAAATCTTAAGATCTGCATGCTACTGTATATTTATAAAGTTTTTTAAATGTCCATTAAAAAGGAATTACCAAAAGAATATAGCTGGAAAGGAATGGAAAATTACACAATCAAAAGCATTATTGTGGCCAAAGATACTTCTTTAAGTTTCCATTTTATTCAAAGATTTATAAAACCAAATCATTTCCCACAGATTGATACTACATATTTTGAATTTCTCCTTTTATAGTATTATATTTCAAGTAGCTCCAAATGTCTGACGAATGCTTCTATAGAACTTGCTGTTCTCTGGTCATGAGTTGCTTGTTATCTCCCTTAAGTGCATTATAAAATAATTAGTCTCTTCTTCCCATTAAACTGTTTCATTTATGATTGTTTGCCAGATGAAAGATGAAATTCCATTTAATGATAAGAATCTGGGTTCCAGTTAATTCTAGGGTACATTTCATGCTATTTCCCTTTTGCCTTCTGTAATTAAATTAGCCCATTCTCTTCTCAACTAAGAGCTTATGAGCATGGTCATGGTCTGCCCATGATCTTAGAAACAGTGCTGAGGAAAATGATCTGGCAGCTAAGCTCTTTCCTTCACTTGGTCATATGACTCAGCCTTGATTTCCATGTGAAAAATGAAAATAAAAAATCTCTGTTCTACCAATCTCAAAGACCAGCACAAGGAATCAAATGAGATTAAGCATAAAATGATTCGTGAACACCCCAAGTGGCAAGGTGAAGGTAAAAGCCATAAAGTAAGGAAAGTAATGTCTACTTACAGCGCAATGGTTACACTTAAAAAGAGAAGTTATAACTTAATTAAATCATTGGAAGTTAGACATTTCCATAATTTAAGATACTAAATCATAGCTCTTATGAACTAAATGTTCATGTCCGCTCATAAGTCATATGTTGAAGTCCTAACTCTCAATGTAATGGTGTTCTGAGGTGAGAGGTGCCTTCGGGAGACGATCAGGTTTAGATGAGGCTTTGAGTGCAGCCCCCATGATGGAATTAATGGGTTTATTGGAAGAGAACGAAGTTCTCCTTCTAAGAATGCAGCAAGAAGACAGCTGTCAAGCCAGGAAGAGAGACCTCACCAGGAACCAGTCTACCAGCACCTCAACCTGGAGACTGCAAATCTCTACAGCTATGAAAAATATCTGTTCTTAAGCTACCCAGTCTATAGTATTTTATTATAGCAGCCACTAACACACCAATACAATAATCCTATTCTGTGCACCTATTCTGAATCAGTAAGTCTATGTAGTTATCAACTTAATCCTGCTGATTTTGTTAAATGGAAAAATTCCTAGCATTATTATTCTTACATTACCTGTTTTCAATAATTAGTTGTATTTCTCCCCCTTATACAAGAGGAATGGAAGAAAAAGACAATGGCATGCATCAGTCATTTATGGATCTCAAAATAGTTCTTACATTGCCATTTGTGTCCCAATTATAAAGACACCCCTTCAAAAATTCATGAGAGCAATATATACTTTCTAAACAGAAGGCAGTAACAGTAAGAAATTGTCATTTGATTCAACTTCAACTTCAAAAAATTTATTGAAACTAGAAATGAAAAAAATAGAGTACCAAGAGTAATCACACAGAAATTACACGCCTGTTTCCAGGAAGCACCACTGGTTCAATGCACGGTACTCAGTGACGTGGTACCAGCCAGCGGGCGTCTGTTTATTAAATAAGTTCTCGCTGACATGCTTCTCCATAGAAATTAGGCTTCAATTTCTTTCACTGCTTGAAGACACTTCTTTCAGAAATCATTTCTTCAGTTCAAAAATTCACCTGAGGTGGAATTTCACTATCTTTTAAATACATGCTCTACTTGACATATAATTACTTTGTTATATTTATGCCATTATTATGATCCCAGTTACAATCAAGGAATGCTTTCTGTTTAAGCAGAGTTGAAAGAGCATGAGGTAGTTTTCAGCCACTGAAAAGAAACACACATTTAACAGGGATGGATCACACGCAGTGATATTTTTAACAAGTTAGAAGACCTTAATGATCAGCAAATTCAGTACATCAGTTCTAAGCCAAAATGTATCTCTATGTTTGGGAAGAAAGATGAAATGAAGAATGAATACAAGTTCTTCAGTTCCATATGCTAGCTGCATAATTTTCCCAGCACAAGGTCTTCTGCTGGATACACCACTGCTCCAGACTTTCTCATGTGAGCACCTCAGAACACCACACAGACAAGCTACCAAAGAAGCTAGTTCTAATATACCTTTATAATATCTAAATTTGAAAAATCAAGCATGCCCATCTATATACAAAATATATTTTTAAAAAAAACTAATTGTCTTATGGTAACCATTGTTGATAACCTTGTACTCTGTTTTTACATCATGTACTATGTCTATCCTTGGTTTTGACTGACAGCTTTGTTTTGCCATATTTGACTTTATTCTCTTCCAAAAAAAAAAAAAGTAATAAGAACTAAGGAGTAATAAAACCCAAAATGTGTAAATTTTGTTGTTAAAAAAGAGAGGGAAAAAAAGTGCTCTAAAGGATACAACTGCAAGTGTGTTTAGGGGTGTTAAATAGCTGACCATATTAATGTTTTTGGTTGGATCATTGAACACAACTGTTTGCAGTCTCACTGTTTCAATGTCCACTTTGTATGCTTTGAAACTGTGACTTGGGCTCCGGGAGAACATGGCGGACAGACAACAGCAACTACCGGAGGCTCTCTGAAAGGCTCGGCTCAGAGGCCAGGAATGATACGGACTAAGGAGACACGAACCAGTAGAGATATGCTCTGCTGACTCAGGAACAAACTGGGCTGAGAGAAACCAACTTAGAATACAGTCCTGGCGCTAAAATAGGAACAGAAAAGACTCGGTGCGAAGGCTCGACCCCGCGCCATTGGAAACCGCGATTTGGGTTTCCCGCCGCCCGGCGGCTGGCTGCCTCCACAAGCGGCTCGGCAAGGAGAGACGCGCAGAGCTCTGGGAACGGGAGTCTGCGAACGGAGTCGAAAACAGGACGGACAAGGAGGCGTACACGAAAACTGACTGGTGGCGAGGTGAGTGAGAAACTGACCCCCTACCACAGTTTGACTCCAGCGGAGGACTTTCTGGGCTCAGGCAGTCCTGTAAGAGCAGGGCGCGGTGGCAACTCCAGCCACACATTCCCCTCTCGGACGGGATTGGTGAAAAGTGCCTGGCCTGAGTGACGCTGCTGGCGGACTCCCTAGGCTGGCCTAATCCAGATCCAAGAGCCTGACGGTGGCCCGGAGGAGCGACTGACTCCCGCGTAGGCTGCCTCCTCCGCAACAGTGGGCGCAGCAGTGGGCGGGAACAACTAGCCAGCGCAATTTGATCAGGCTGTGGCTGACAGGCAGGGAAGCCGGGCCTCCTATGTAAGCTTGCATTTTATAAGGAACAGAAAATATGGGGAAGGGAAGCAACAAAAAAGGCTCCTCAGCCCCCAATCCTGAGAAACAGGCAATAGTGGACACCGCACCAATATACATTAAGCACCATATAGAGAGCCTCATAGACCAATTCAGGAATGAAGTTATCAACGACCTGAAGCTAGAAGTATGCAGAATAGTTAGAGAAATGCTAAGCACCACCCAGGAAAAAGCAGATGGTGGAATGGAAGAACAGAAAAAGAGGGGAGAATTGCTTGACGGAGAAAACAGAGAAAGCATTGAGTATGAGAAGCAGGTTCAAAGGGACTATCAAGAAATTAAGAAGTCTATCCAAGACTGGCATAACAGCTTGAAAGAAACTAAGGACAGACTATCTGAACTGGAGGGCAGACTTGAAATATGGGAGAATGAAATGAAAAACTTCTTAATAATAACAAAGAAACAAACAGCAATAATACAAAGACAAGAAGATGATAAGAGGAGCCATAACTTAAGGATTAAGAACATAAAAGAAGTAGGGACACAAACAAGTGAACTACAAAAGCTACTCACAGAAATAATCCAGGAGAATTTTTCTAATTTAGCAAAAGGTAAAGATACTCAGATCTATGAGGCATACAGGACCCCAGCTACCTACAACCCTAACAGAGAAACACCCAGGCATATAATAATAAAAATTCCAGAAATTCAATACAAGAACAGAATATTAAAAGCTGTAAGAGACAAGAAACAGACTACCTACAAGGGAACACCCATCAGAATTACAGCAGATTTCTCTTCACAAACCATCAAATCACGAAGAGCATGGGGGGAAATAATTCAAGCTTTGAAATATAATAATCTCCAGCCAAGATTGAGATATCCTGCACAACTGTCCCTGGAAATTGATGGAAAAACGAGGTGCTTCCAGGATAAAGAGGAACTGGGGGAATTTGCAACCACCAATTCAACCCTACAGAAAGTATTGCAGGATATTCTAAAAAAAGAAAAATACAAAGAACCCAGAAATAGTGGCGGGGAGGCCACAACGAATGGAGCAGAGAACAAAATGAAGAAGACAAACTGACAGCTACTGACAGAAAAAGAGCTCAACAGAAATGAGACAGAGAAGATTGGATGATAGGAACAGCTATTTTGGAGAAAATGACATCTTAATAGGTAATGCTTATTTAGTACCATCTTCCTTTGAAGTCTCATCTAGCTTTTGTTCTTCTGTCTCCAATGGTCTAAACAGGTTGTATCTTATTGGATTTTGTTATGTACGATAGTATAAGCAAAAACCTTTTAAAGACAAGGAGATTATACAGAGACCATTGTTCATTTTCTGTTAGTCGATTCTAAATACTCTGTAATGCTGTCATTCTCTTAAATGGTTTTACATTGTTTTGATATACTTAATGCTACAGTATATGAAGTTGTACTCAAGGACTTCAGGGAGGGAGTCAATATGGTAACTACTTTTGGGTTGGAAATATCTGGTGGTGAAACACTATTCTGCTTAAATGGTTATGTTTTGATCTGCCCTGTTTCGCTGTTATGCCCTCTTTTTTCTCAATCTCCACTCCATTATTTACTTTTTTATTTTTATCCATTTAATTAAAGGGAAAAAATAGCAGGATATAATATAGTAACCCATTTTGACTTTCTATTATCTCGATTTGAAGCCCTGTATTACTCTCACCATCTTGTTTTTGACTGAGGTTCCTCTATTCTGTTTTGCTGGATAGTATCAGGTTCGAAAGTTTAGGCATCAGCTGAGAAGATAATGAGATTCATTATAACGCCCATTCTCGTTGACTTTTATCTACTTTTGAAGACCTACAATATCTCCAATGCTTTGGTTTTGTCGGTTTTATTCTTTACTGTTTTGTTCAATTGTATTACAACTAATGATATAGGCAATTCTATTAGAAATAGCGGGAGGCATTATGGTAACCATTGTTGATCACCTTGTATTATGTTTTTATATTATCTATTATATCCACCCTTTTGACTTGACCGATTCTGTTCTCTTATGTCACATTTGGTTTTACTCTCTTCCAAAAAAGCAATAAGAACCGTGGGAGCAATGAAACCCAAAATGTGTAATAGTCACTGTACAAAAGAGAGGAAAAGAAAGTGCTCTAAACTATATAACTGCATGTATATTTAAATGTATAAGATAGAAAATGATATCACAGAGTTTTATTGGATCATTGAACAGAACTGTTTGCAGTATCATTGTTGGAATGTCCACTCTACAAGCTTCAATTTTGTGACTTGAACAATTATTTCTAAGATGGCAATATGTAATCCATTAACTAGTGATTTCCTACTGCGCATTTTTTTCTTCTGTAAATCTGTATAACTTGTACCCCTTCACTGTTTTTTTTTTCTTTCTTTTCTTTTCTCCTTAAATGAAAAAAAAAAAAAAAGAAAAAGAAAAAAAAAAAAAGAAACTGTGACTTGAGCAACTATCTCTAAGATGATAATGTGTAATCTATTAACTGGTGATTTCTTACTGTTTTTTTTTTTTTTCTGTAGTTCTGTATTACTTGTACCCTTACACCGCTTTGTTTTTTTCTCTTTTTCCTTTTAAATAAAATTTTTTAAAAAACTAATTGTCATGACATTATAAAACTCAGTGCTTTTAGAGCTTCTGAGCTATAATCAGAAGCAAAATCATGACATTTTTCAAGTTTTTCCAGAAATCTAGGTAAATTTTTCCTTAATTTTAAATAGATGTGTCCACACACACTTGAAAGGGTTAATGTTAAAAATCTCAAACACTCAATTAGTAGACAATTTTTCAGTAAATATTTCCTAAGTTATTTCATTAGATTTCTTTTTTTGATATTTAACAGAAAATAGCAAGAGCCTACCTCCCTCAGAAGGTTGGTGATGTACTTTACATGTAAAAATTCAGGAGTCTTGTCTAAATCCAGTGAGGACCTTCCTTTAATCTCCTTCTCAAAATCCTCTTTGTAAACTCTCTGTAAAATGAGACCATATCCTTTTAAAAAGCAGGAAATTCTAGCAACTACTGAAAGCATATCTTCTGGGAGCTGGAGGTTTAGCTCAGCGGCATAAGCGCCTGCCTTGCAAGCAGGCAGTCGTGAGTTCGATCCCCGGTACCGATAAAAAGGAAAAAGACAAAAAAAAAAAAAAAAAAAAAAAGAAAGCATATCTTCCCCAAAGAGTTAAAGACATCACATTTCAGTATTTCATGCATACTCAAGTTCACAGCAGCTAATAATAGCTGGATCTTGGAAGCAGTGTGTATGTCCATCATCAGAAGAATGGACAATGAAAAATGTAGTATTTATATGCAATGGAGTGCTACTCTACCATAAAGAAGGTTAAGCTTGAATCTCCTGTAGGAAAATGGATGCACCTTGAGAGCATAATGTTAAGTGAAACAAATCAGACACACAAGAGTAAGACTGTAGGTTTCACTTATATGAGAAACCCAAGTTATAAGTAAAGAGAAAAACAAAAGATAGATAATAGGAAGTAGAGAAGTAGATCTTTCTCAAAAGAGAAGGAGATAAAGAGATGGGGGAAGGGAATGAAAAAAGAAATCAGATGTGTTTTGTGCATGTTCCAACTTCACACAAGGAACAGAAATATTATGTACTGCAGACAGGTACTAATAAAAATTTAGAAATTAAAACAAAGACATGACAGCAAGAATTCTTAGAACAAATCAATGTTTTGTTATATAATTCTACCATCTCAGACTCTTATACACAGGAAAATAATTCCAATTTTATCCTAAATTTCAAGATTCTACCAAATAGAAGCAGAAACATCAAGGATCGTCCCATCCCTCTGATAAACCATTCTGCATGCAGGGGCTCAGCACCCTCCTATCTGGTTCACATCACCCCACTCTAGGGCAGGACCAGAAAGCATGGCTACTTGATGGGATAATCTGATTGGTTCACTCCAAAGGAAGTTTCTCCCGTGCCCTGGAAGAAACTCTGTGGCGCTGAGATCCACTTAAACCAAAGTAGCACTCACAGTCACAGCACCTTCATCCTTCTCATCCTCCATCTTTTGTGAATTCAGTAAATAGCATTTCAAAAATGCAAAGGAGGGGCCCTGGGGAAGGAGGAGGAATTTTTTTTTGGGGGGGGGTACCAGGGATCAAACTCACGACCTAGTGCTTACAAGGCAGGCACTTACGCCACTCAGCTAAATCCTCGGCTCAGGAGGAGTAATTTTTAATAATTGTGGCATTGAGCATTTCTCTACCATTTAAGCAATTCAACATGAATCAGGTTACGCTTTAAGGAAGATTTTATTTTGAACCTGGTAAATCATTCTCTCCCCACGCCCACCTCTTGGTACTGGGGTTTGAACCCAGGGCCTTGGCACCTTATCCCCAAGCTACATCCCCAGCCCTTTTCATTCTTTATTCTCAGACAGCTTCACTAAGTTGTTCAGGCAACACTCAACCTTGTGATGTTCCTGCTTCAGCCTGCTAGAGTTCTGGAATTAGAGGCACGTGCCACCACATTTGGCTTGGATAAATCCTTCTTTAGGTAAGAGTTCACCACCAGAAATTAAAAATTAAAAGACTGTGAAAATGCCTGCCCTTTATCTGCCCTGACACCCTTTCACTAAGATTCTCAAAATTCTAGCACTGGAGCTATGACTTTGAAAATCATGTTTTATAACAGCTTTTACAATAGTATCCAAAAACATGAAATACCTAGGAATCAATCTAACAAAGGAGGTAGAAGACCTCTACATTGAAAACTATAGTACTCTGAAAAAGGAGATGGGAGAGGATATTAAAAAAGAGATATTCCATGCTCTTGAGTAGGAAGAACCAATAGAGTGAAAATGCCCATACGTCCAAAACTGTTATACAGATTCAATGCAATCCCAATTGAAATTCCAATAGCATATCTCACAGAAATAGAGAAAAAAATCTAAAATTCATCTGGAACCAGAAGAGACCTAGAATAGCAATGACACTCCTGACCAACAAAGACAAGACATGGGCCATCATAATTCCTGACTTAAATTTATACTATAAACCTACTGTGATAAAAACAGTGTGGTACTGGCAAAAAAAAAAAAAAAAAAAAAAAAAAACTGACCTAAAAATCAATGGAACAGATTAGAAGATAGGCAGAAACAACTCCAGACACCCTGAGCAATCTTATCTTTAACAAAGGGGCCAGACACATTCATTAGGTGAAGGAAAGGTAGCCTCTTTAATAAGTGGTGCTAGAAAAACCGGCTCTACACATGCCCAAGATTAAAACTGGACCCTTATCTTTCACCATGTACTAAACTAAAATCAGAAGGGGTCAAAGATCTTAATATTAAAGCAGAAACATGAAGTCTTCTGGAAGACAGAGTAGGTAAACCTCTTGAAGACACTGGTATAGGCAAAGACTTTATGAACAAAATCCTGATTGCAAAGGAACTATCACAAAAAATCAATAACTGGAATCTCACCATACTGAAAAGCTTTTGCATAGCAAGAGAAACCACCAACAGAGTGAAGAGACAGCCCACAACATGGGAGAAAATTTTTGCTAGCTGTTCCTCAGACAAAGGATTACTATCAAGAACATATAAAGAATGCAAAAAATCCCAGATTTAAAGACTCAATCCAAAAATGGGCATCTGAGATGAATACATACTTACCAGATAAAAAAATACAAACAACAAATAAATATGTGAAAAAATGTTCAACATCAGTGGTCATTCGAGACATAAATTAAAACAACATTGAGATTCCACCTCACCCCAGAAAGAATGGATACTGTCAAGAAATCAATCAATAACAAATGTTGGAGAGGCTGTGGGGAAAAAGGAATCCTTCTCCACTGCTGGTGGGAGTGCAGACTGGTACCACCACTGTGGAAATCAGTGTGGAGATTCCTCAAAAAACTAAGACTAGAAGTCCCATTCAACCCAGCTATTTCTCTGTCAGTATCTTCCCAGAAAAATTAAAAACATTATACCACAGTGATTTATGTTCACCCGTGTTTATAACAGCATAGTTTGTAATAGCCAGATCTTGGAAACAACCTAAATGCCCATCGAATGAAGAATGAATAAAAAAGATGTGATATTTTTATACAATGGGGTACTATTCAGCTATAATGAAGGATAAAATGGATACCTTTGTAGTTAAATGGATACATCTGGAGAACATACTCATTAGTGAGATACGACACACATGTGTAAACATCGTATTGTTTCATTAGTGTGAGAAACTGAAAGAAAAAACATATATATATATGTGTATGTATATGTGTACCAAAAAATAGTTAAGGCAGTTATGCTACTGATTTCTCTGAGTTCACTGAAGAGAAAGATTTGTGCTGGTCTTGCTCAGATAACTGAATGCAGCTGTCTTGTGCTCTGGGTGAATGATTTGGGGATGGCAATGTACAATGTATGCATCATTGTTGCCCCTTGATTGACATGTTTTGAAATTTTGTTGTAGTTTTTTTCTTTTCTTGTTTTTTTTTAAAATTTTACCCTTGAAAAAATGGATTTAAAAAAAGAAAATCATGTTTTATGACTGAAAACACAGTTTCTATAAATTATAAAAATATCCACTTATGCAAAGTATTTACTAAGCAAGGACCAGATTACTTAGTCAAATATTTTATTCAGATTATATCATAAAAAACAAATTCTAAATGAGAATGTTATTCTCACAAAGGGAGAAGTTATCTATGTTTATTATGTATTTATTACAGAGAAAGCAATTGTATGAATAAAGAAATTCTCCAAACCATGAGAGAGAATAAAATAAGTATGTCACCTCCTCTCTGAGCATCTCTGTACATCTACAATGAGCATCTTGTAAATTTAATTATGGAGTTGCTCTAGGAGGCTTCAAAATTAAAGAACTATAGATATCCCAAAAACAAAAGTGAAAAACTTTCTCTTTTTTAAAATTTGAATCTAATCAAGATAGTATGGTTATAAGGCTGAATTCAGGGCATTTCCAGGCTAAGGGGACTCTATAAAGTGAAATATAAATATATGTGTTTGTGCATTTATTTATGTATATTTGCTATTTCACTTCAAAAAGCACTTAATGCTGAACAATATTACTGAAGTAAGTCATTAAGAAAAGTTACAGCGACTGGAACCAGCCAGCGAGAGCCTGAAGAAAAAGGAAAATATCCTCAAACTTCTGACTAGAAGAGCTACATCTGTGTGAGGGAAGATGAGAAACTTTTCAAGGTCAGATACAGGAATTTCTTCTAGGAAAGAAACACGATGATGAAACCTACGCCCGGCGTTAGAAGAAAGTGTGAGGCAGTGTGAAAGGCTTTGCCCGAGTCTGAATACTCAGCTTCACAGGAAGGCTGCACAAGCATGCGGAGATGCACCTGTCTAGGGAATGAAACCCTGCAGTGACAGCTGACTCTCCTGGCCCTTCACTGGTCCTATATTTAAAGCCTTTCTACGGCAAACTTTTTAAAGAGTTCTGGATACTTTCTTTCTCAGGTCTTCAGAGGATAAATGTGGTCCAAAGATATTTTCTACTGCAAGAATTCGCTCTCCTCCAGCCCCACCAAGCAAAGGGATAAAGGAGGAACTAAAAGAATCTAATACTTGGGGCTATAATGAAAGGGAAAACAGGTCTCACTCGACAGGACCGAAAGAATCAACTGGGTGAAGAAAAGACAGCAACTATGGTAAGAGATGTAGAGCTAAAATCCAACACCATAAATTACTATCATTTCCAATTCACAAATACGGCATCATAATGTGATAACCATGAACTGTAAGGTCCAGGATTTGTGGGTGGTGGCAGAGTTAACTTCTTAAGAGTATGGAAATCAGGGGCCATGGGGCAAGAACGATAAAAGGGTCCTCAGCACAAATGAGGACTACACACCAACAAAGGGAAGAGGGAAACCGAGATGGAGGCTGCCTGGGACCATGTGGAGGTGCTGTCTCCCTCCTGACACACCTCAGGAGTATCTGAAGATGAACTATAACATCTCCACAACTAGCAAATGCTGACAAAATTCCCACGCAAGGTTTTGTCCAGATATCATCATTTCCTCAGGTTTTGATGTTATTACTGGAAAAAAGGCCTGACCACTGAACACAACTAGTTGATACACATATTTAACATATTTCTGCCCTTTGGAAGTAATGACTCAGTTGTTTCCATAGAATTTGGATATTGGCTACTGACAAAACCTTCTACCTGTATGTCCGGTTTCCACAACAGAAGAGAAGAAATCTCACTGGGACAAAGAAAACCCAGTGCGAGTAATATCTTGATGTGACTCAGCTGTATCTTAGGTTAGGAACAAAGTAAGTAGGAAAATAATTCAAGTATTCACTAAGAAAGAAAAAGAAATAAGTTCGTAGCAAAAAAGGAATTGTAGATGAGTCTGACTCCATCCTAAAGCACTGGAATTTACTAGATATATAATTGTATTTGACAGGATTAATTCCAGTGGATATATTACAAACCCAGAAATAATACCTTCTGAGTGTCATTACTTTGAGGATTAAATGAGAAGACATAAAGCTCTGAGTATATTACCCAGCATAGAATAAGAACTTAATAAATATTGGTTCTACTTTATTGCGAAGGGAAAAAGGAAAAGCAACCAGCCTTTCAATGTTTTTTAACATTCAGTTATTCACCATAGTTTTACAGCAGTAAAATCTGAAAATGTCAGTTCTATAGTCACAGAATCATGATAAGAGCTTTAAGAGCTTATCTGGTTTGGTAATTGTATTTACCAAATGAGAAAAACTAAAGCCAACATCAAAGCCCTGGACAAGACTCCGGCCAGTGGGCACCAGGCCTAGAATGTAGGTTCCAAAATCTGTGCAGAGCTGTGCTCCTGCTGCTAGGCCCATTACACATTCTCAGCCACCTTCCAGTCCTTTTCAAATGGCAAAACATCCCATAAACACTAAACAACTAATAACAAGACCAGAGACCTACCTCACTTTGCATCTTTTGAGCTTCCTTGGAAGCTTGATATGACGGAGTCTCAACAAATTCAAGCATTGACTTTCCCTTATTCTTCTCATATTCTTCTTTATATTTAACCTTGGTAGAAAAAAGTAAGAAAAGAATATAAAAATGAGGATGGGGGTAGCTCAGTGGTAGAGGGTGTGCTTAGCATGTGCGACAGCCTGGGTTCAATGTCCACACCAAAAGAGAAAATGAAAAGAAAGAAAACTATATTTAAAAAAATCAAAAGCCCTATACAGATCAAAGTAAAATAAGTGTCCAAAATTAGTCGTACTGCTTTCTAAAACCAAGTTATTCAAGCTATTTAGGATCATCACTAAATTCCCTAAGAATAATGCCATGTAAAGGAGGTAAATGGGTAATATATAAAAAATTTTGAGGAATAAAAATAACTTAGAACTACTAAATAACATAATTGCATAAGAGACTAAAGTCTCATCAAATAATATAGTGCATATACATTTATATGATATGTAAGCACACAGCAGGTATTTGACAAGATATACATGGAGGGAGGGTTGGAAAGGGAGACTGAGGAATCCTATTAAGAAACTACAGGTTTGATCTTCTATCTTTTTTTCAAAAGAACTGCTACGTTTTTCTACAAGGCACTGAATAAAACAAACTTTTAGGCGATTTCTTTTCTTTCTCCTATTCATTACTTAATGATATCATATTGTGAATTAGTATTACAATTATCACCAGTCCTCATCTTATCTTAGTTTATAAAATGAGTGAAATTTTCTATATAAAAATAAGAAATGTTAGCCATACAATACAAAATAGCGGTTGACTTTTTTGTCAATATACCGTTTAAAATTAAATTAAGTAATTGTGATCAGAATTTACTTTATACAGAAATACATTTTCATTAAAATTCTTAGGTATAACAACTTTGTGAAACTATTTTTCAAGTTTTATAATAATAAGGATATTGATAATTTAAACAGAGAAAATTTTCAATATGTAGAACTTTATGATAACAGGAAATATAAATAACTTATAAATATCCATTAGTAGACATTTTTATTGCAGAAAAGTATGACAGAATGACCATCAAAAGTGTTGAAGCTAACAGCGTACTATTTTAAAGTTTGGTGAAAGAAAAAATGAAATGAAAATAACCAAAAAGATTAAAATGTATATTTTAAACATTAAAGAGGAGCTAGTTTGCATATTTTTAAAATAAATGAAGGTAGGCATATAATGTTTCACAGAATACATTTTAGAGAATCATGCAAATTTTTGTCTTAAATGCTTAGATGCTAGATATGGCACCTTCAGCAAGCTAAACTCAGAATTAAAACATGGCTATCAGCTTTAAAGTGTCATAAGAAGATATTTTTAAAAGCCTTTTCTAAGGTACGTAAGATTTCATAGTTGCAAAACACATTAATTTAGAGTATACTAGCAAGATTGTTTTCCTTTTTCAATCACATTTGTGAGCTGAGAAATTATAATAATAAACATTGCACCTGGAAAATTGGGGGGCTCAGAATAACAAGTCATGTAAATACTGAGCTTCGACCACAGTTTAACTCCTGCATTAGAAGTTCTTGATTATGTGGAGTAACTGCTACTTTATGGAATGCCTTTGTATGGACACACAGGTCAGGCTTTTCTGATCCTATAAATAGGAAACGGTGCCTGAGATTTCCCGAGGCAACATTTATGTTGCCTGGCGGTGTTCTTTTCACGACTGTACCTCATCAGTTGAGGTGCACAGTGGTGGCGAGCAGTAGTGGGTGTCACAATGGTGACGGGCATTTACCTGGCTCTGAAGTGTGGAAACGCCTCTATGGTGCAGGTGTTCCGAGGCATCGGCATCAAAATGGTACGTGCCTTTGTTTTCCTCAAACAGCTTTTTATATTCTCGCTAAAACACAGAACATGGAAACAACTTTAGGGTAGAAGAGACTGATTAGAGCCATTAATGCTTATGAAAGCAAACAAAAATGCAAGCCACCACAGGGGACAGTGCCAGTACCAAGTCTCCATCGGTGATCAGCGGGCACACAGGGGATTCCTCACACTGAGATAAACAGGCAGCACAACACTGGGCAGCTGGCAGGGCGGCCAGCACAGGGAGCACTCCGGGGACAGTTAGCTGTGAACACAGCATTAGGCACATTTACAGCACCGAGCAGCGGCAATGCAGGAGCTGGTGACAGAAGGTGGCTTGGCAATGAGAGGCCAAAGGGCAGAAAGAAGGAAAGAAAGAAAACAAAAAGAAGGAAGCCTGGAGATAAGGAAGGAAAAAAGCTATCTATGGTGGCTCAGCCTCGAGGACTGACAGTCACAAGGAAAACAAGACAGTGAAAAATGAGTCCGCTGAAGGTCCTAATTCCAAAGGGTAAGAAGTATCTGGAAAAGAAACCGAGGAATCTGGGAGCAGTTGTTTTGATTTTTAAAATGAAGAATTTGGGGGTTTTGGGGGGTCTAAATTAGGCTACCATTTAGACCCAAGTAAAAAGGTTACTTAAGAAGCGGCCGGATGGACAGGGCATCCAGTCTGTCAGCGGCAGTACTTGAGACGCAACAGGCAGCACTAAGGCCAAACTGCTTGGGACTGCTGTCCCTGGAGGGTGGACACTTGGTTATTTTGCCCTGTTTGGAAAACGCTTTAGAAACAAATAGCAGCTGTCAGGCACACAAGGCTACAGAGACGGAAGAAGGTAATGCGGATTTCTCGTTGGCAGTGGGTTTGGTTAGGGCACCAGGGACGGACAGACAGGACACCCAGGTCACCTGCAGCTTGACAGCTGCTGCTCCTTGGGGGACAAAGCAATGGGCCACCAAGGCAACTAGGAAGCCAAGACTCCGGTCCCCAAACCCTAGCCAAAATAAAATGAGGGAGAAAAGCACCAAAGGAATACCGTTCACAGAGCACCTCTTGACCAAAGACAACAACTTCTAAATATTGGCTTTTCTACTAACTTAAGAAAGAAAAAGAAAGCTAGGTGCAGTGCCACATACCTGTAACCCCAGCAGGCAGGAGGCTGAGGCAGGAGGAGTGCCATGAGCTTGAGCCCGCCTGGCTACTGAGTGAGTTCAAGGTCAACCTGTACTATGTAGTGTGACCCTGTCTCAAAACAATAAATAAACAAAGAAATTTTTTAAAAAAAAACCTTGAAAAACAATGATGTACCTAATATACTTTATAATTGGATAGGTTATTTTATAATATATTTATATAATAATCATGACTTGAAAGTAGTAAGTTAAAACATGCTATTGTTTAAAATTGGAATTAAACATAGCTAGGGTATTATATTTGGACTCACGGAGAGAACTAAGAAAGGGTGGCTAAATATTGTTCCCAACACAATAAGCTATTTCAGCTATGAAGAAATTAAGAAAATCCTGTTTTAGAAAACAAAAACAAAACCTACTTGAGCTAAAATCTGTGAAAGAAATTTCCAGTACATGATTCTGTACTTCTGTATATATAATAGTCTCTGTTGCCTCCTAGTGGAAGCCACACAGAGTAACACAATATATATTGTTTAAATTTATGTACAGTTTTAAGAAAACTGAAAACTTTTGAGAACTCCATTTTTCAGGGGAAAATATTTCCTTAAAATGTAATGAGTACCGCTGTCCAAATGTATAAGGCACTAATTTTACCTACACATGGTAAAATAAAAAATATTCCAATGTACACCAAAGACCTCTATCTAGAAGTTAAAAAAACCCAGCTATTTATAACAAACTGACAAATAATCTTAGCCAAAGTATTTACTGACAAATCTCTCATTCAATCTTCTACTAAAATTAAGTTGTCCTTATAAATCAAGAAAATTTCAATCTCTTTACATTAAAATTTAAAAGATGACTAGCTTCTAATGCAGGATAAATTTGAGCCAATGTATTATGGTACAATTTTAACAAGCAGGTGCTATGGAGTAATGTATTTTTTTCACTCAAACTTTCTGACATGTAAAATAATCATCCAGCCACAATTTTTCAGTGGGAAGAACAAATATCTATGATCTAAGCAAAAACACTCCCTGAATAAAGATTTTTATCGGCACAAATGATGTAAAAGAGGTGAAACAAGCCACTCACAGTGGCACGTGCCCGTAACCTCGGCCCTCTCAGAGGCTGAAGTGGGAGGATCACAAGTTGAAGCCCAGCCTGGAAAACTCAGCAACTTAGAGAAAACTGTCTCAAACGGAAGAAAGACGGGCGGAGAGCCACCCCATCTTCAGCAGAGGGGCCAAACGTATTCACTGGAAGAAAGACAGCCTCTTTAATAAGTGGTGCTGGAAAAACTGGCTGTCCACACACCGAAGACTAAAACTACACCCATGCCTATCGTCAGGTACTAAACTCAAGTCAAAATGGATCAAAGATCTATATATTAAAACACAGACACTAAATCTTGTGGAAGACAAAGTAGGTAGAAATCTTGAAGACATAGGAGTAGGCAGAGTTCAAGAACAAAAATCAAACTGCACAGGAAATACTTCCCAGAATCAACACCTGGGATCTCATCTTATTAAAAAGTTTTTGCATGTCAAAAGAAATCTCCAACAGATCAAAAAGAAAACCCCAAAATTGGGAAAATATCTTAGCCAACTGTCCCTCAGACAAAGGACTTCTATCTAGAACATATAAAGAATTTTTTTAAAAATCAGGCCCCCAAACTTCAAAAAGCCAGTCCAAAAATGGGCAACTGAGATAAATGTAACCTTCTCAGGTGAAGAAATACAAATGTCAAATAAATATGAAAAAATGCTCAGCATCATTGGCCATTTAAGAAATGCAAATTAAAAGGACACTGAGATTCCATCTCACTCAGAAAGAACTGCCAAGATCAAGAAATCAACCAATAACAAATGCTGGAGCAGCTATGGGGAAAAGGAATCCTTCTCCACTGTTGGTGGGAGTGTAGGCTGGTGCAACCACCCGCATGTCAGTATAGAGATTCCTCAAAAAGCTAGGATTAGAGGTTCCATTTGACCCAGCTATCCCATTTCTGTGCATTTTCCCAGAAAAAATGAACACATCATACCACAGTAATATATGTGCACCCATGTTCATAGCAGCACAATTTGTAATAGCCAGATCTTGGAAACAACCTACATGCCCATCAACTGAAGAACGGATATAAAAGCTGTGGTATTTTTATATAATGGAGTACTACTCAGCTATAAAATGATCACATTGAGATTTTTATAGGTAAATGGATGTAACTTGAGATCATACTCATAAGTGAAATAAATCAAACTCACATGTGTAAATACCATATTGTCTTCCTAGTGTGAGAAACTGAAAGAGCAAATATGACCAAAAATCTACAATAGATATTGCATAAAGTTAAGAAGCTACTCAAAGGGGAAAAGCAAGTGGGATAGAGGAAAGGAGGAAAGGAGGAAAGGAGGAAGGGGAAAAGAAAAAGACATGGATTTGTATTTATATATATAAGAGAGCCAACATGATTATACTACTAGTTATAACAGTTCTTGGAAAAGAACAGTTAATATTTATATGATTAGATCAATTTTACATGTCTATATTTGGTAATCTAAGTAACCTTTTTGACGATAACAATATCAATATTACAACCATTGTTAAATTCCTATCATCCTGTTTTGAAAAACCTATAATGTCATTGTTTGGGGTTTGTTGTTGTTGTTTGTTTGTCTCTTTTGCTTTTTGTTTTTCTTTTCTGTGTTTTTTTTTCTCTCTTAATTAAAAAGAAAAGATGGGCTGAGAATAGGTCAGTAAAAAAGCTCTGGGTTCAACCCCAGTACCCCCCCAAAAAGTTGCACATATGATTTTGATGCTTTTTATTCATTGAAGAGATGCTGAAAACAGTTTATGCTAAACTGTAATTTTTTCATTATTATTACAAAATAGAAGTCAACATTCTTGAAAAGAAACAGCCTGTTAGGGTACTAGACTATGGACATGAAATGTATCCCAAAGGTTCGTGTGTGGCAAGCTTGGTTCCCAAAGCAGCAAAGCTTAAGGATGAGACTCTGGGAGGTGACTGGACTCTGACCTTCCTGATAAATTAATGCACTATGGGCATTAATGATATGATGGGCTGGGGAAGGGAATGGAAACACGGGACCCAGAACCTGCTGGAAGGGGTGTGTCCTAGGGATAGGGCCTTGCAGACCACATCTTCCTCTGGCCCTTTCCTCCTCCCCCTCCATCTCTCTCTTTTCTCTCTCTTCTCCTTTTCCTTCTCCTCGTCCTTCCTCTTCTCTATCTCTGTGTCTCTGTCTGTCTGTCTGTCTGTCTGTCTGTCTCTCTCTCTCTCTCTCTCTCTCTCTCTCTCTCTCTCTCTGTTTCACTGTCTCCTTCCTACTGTCACAGAGGTGGGCAACTTCTGCCACCAACCCCTTCCACCATGATGCTCTCTCTTCCATCCCCAGAAACGGCACTAGGTGACCTGGTGCAAAATCCTCAGCCAAAACAACTCTCTCCTTCTTTTAAGTTCTTTGTTTCAGGTATTTTTGTTACGTGGGCATACATTGTACCAGATATCGGCATGGCATCTTTATTGGCTCACGTACACTTCAATCTCCACGTTCCTAGGTAATTTAACCTGAATCTGGATGAGGAACCAGCAACAGCAGATGTCACTGCAATGACCAAAAGTGACTGTGAAGAAAGCAGAGGTTTCAGAGAAAGGGAACAGATGGAATCATACGTGTGCCTCAGTCATGGGGAAAGCCACGGAACTGGAACAGGGACACTCAAGGGGTCATGGGATGTGGACAGAAAAGTAGGCATGGCATGGGCAGGGCAGGACAGTACGACTTCAGTGTTAGGAACCAAGTGCGAATTCTGAGCCTCTCAAAACACCTCCATCTCTCATTTTGTGCTCCACACCGGAAAGAATGACATTGTTTTTCACACAATATCAGCAATTTGTGTGGGGGCTGAATTAAAATTCTGGGAGTTTGAATGACTTATATGCATTACACACTTTAAGAAGGATGACAAAAGGACAAAAGAAAAGGGAAAAGTCACAGATAGATAATTATGTTACTAATCTCTGTTAGTTCATCAAAAAGTATGGTTTGTGCTTTCGTTGTTTCATCGGTTTTTCATGCTTATATCTTGTCATCTGAACAATTACCTTGAAGATAACAACGTGCAATATGTTAACCACTGCTAATCTCCTATTATTTTGTTTTGAAATTCATAGTTTTTTAAAAAAAATGTTTCCAGTTTAAAGAAGAAGTAGAAGGAGGAGAAGGGGTGGTGAAGGATGACAGGAGTGGTGAAGTGGAAGAAATAAGACACCGAGATAACGAGCAGAAGTTCCAACATATCAAAGCCAGCCTCAGACACAGGGCTTGCAACGCAGAACTGAAGCCGCTTCTCATCGCTCTGTTTGGGAGCTAAGTTTGGAGTACAGAGGGGAAAGGGGCGCTTTGGTGGGGTTTACCCAAGCATTCACTACTTTTCAATGAGTTAGTCACGGAGGGTGCAGCCAAGGACAACTAAGGAACAGATGAGCTCATGAACACAGCAGGCAGCCCGGCGTCTCAGGGCTACACGACACAGACAGTTGCTATCAACAACCCACTTACTCCACTGAGCATTTTGCTGGCTTTCAGGGCATGGTCTAAAAACAACCAATTTGGGAGATCTGAAACCGGATCGTGCATATTTTCAATGTCTTTCTTGTAACTCACCTATGAAAATAACATGGGACAAAATACCATCTAAGAGAAGAAAATATGCTTTCGCATTACTGCCATTATTACTTTTAACACGATATAAAAATAGTATTACCATTTAGGGGTCAATTGACAAATGGATTGATAAGCAACCACTAGATGGTGCTGATTCACTACTGAATGACTAAAAGTTTCCTTTCTAAGGACTTGAAATATTTTAATTCCTTTTATTGTTTTCATATTCAGAAAAGAGGATATCAACAGAATCAGGTAATTATACAGGAACTTGCTTTCAAGAAATAAAGAGATGCCAAGTGTGATGGTGCATGCCTGTAAACCTAGCATTCTGGGAGGCTGAGGCAGGAGGATCATAACTTTGAGCCCAGCCTGAAAAATTTAGTGACTTAATGAGATCCTGCCTCAAAATTTTCATTTTTTTAAAAAAAGAGCTGGCGATGTAGCTTAGTGCAAAATCTCTAAGTTCAATTCCCCAGTACCACAAAAGATAAAAAAGAAAAAAGAGGGAGAAGAACCACTTTATTCTTCAGACATGACTGTATTATTTCAATTTTGTTTTCTGGTGATTTAGCCCTTTGGTATCTTTCCTCCTATTGCCATACAGACCTGCTTTGATGGGAGTTTTGTTTTTGCCAACTGCTCTGGAAATATCACACTAATAATAAAGTTACAAAATATTAATAATATTGCTATTATTGCATGTTAAACACTACTATAAGCCAGAGACATTTCACAAATGTGAAGTATTTAATCCCCACAACAACAACCCAGTAGGTAGGTACTTTAAGCACCTCTATGTTACCAAATAGAAACTGAGACACAGAGAGATGAAGGTATAATACTGAGCAATGGAACAGGATTTAAATTGAGGCAATCTGACCCTAAACCTTGAGTTTTCAGCACTAGACTCAAGGTTCCTTTATGTAAATTTCATTTCTAGTTCCTTTGCATTTGTATATTCACAAACAAAAAAAATCAAATAAAAATCATTCTGATATTCTCATGAGTCCTAAGACACAAAAACTCATTTCAATTGCTGGAAATAAGTAAAAGTTGGTTACTGGGCACAAACGATACCTTTCAAGCATTAATGAAAGCAAAATAAACTAATTCCCAATGAGATGATGGGAACTGAAAGGTCTAAATGATCTAACAGGGCAACAGTTGGATAATATTTAATTTTCATACTTGAGAAGGTTCTCTGAACAATTTCAACTACAGCAAAGCAATCAATTTTTTCAATGTTTCTGTTTTATATTCTGCTTACTTCTAGTAAGAATTTAGGACATTATTTCTTATCAAATGAATCCTGATTATTTTCTAAAACATGAAATAAAAATAAATCTTACAACGAAGTATTTAACAGTCTTTACATAGGAGATACAAAAGAAATTATATGTCATTAATGGTATAATTTCTAAAAATTTCTTTATGATAAACTACCATGTACCAGGTAGTACTTTATAATGAACCCAATGTCATGGGCCTAATTGTGAGTTAATTATTGTCTTAACTACTAATTTGTGATAACACTGCTTTTCTGCAAAACTCTATAATCTATTTCTACTGTTATTCAGGCATAATAATTTTATTTGCATTACTATTCGTACTTATTACCTAATTAGTAATCAGTAGTCATTAATAGTAAATTATAATAATATATTTTTTCTAAAAAAAGCTTCAGGAGAATATGCTTTAGTGTTTTCAACTACAAATTAGTTGGAAATTACATGATCTTGATTAAGTATCGGTAATTACAACACAGTTCTGAGGAAACAAGAATCAAAAGATAGTGAAAGTAATTTTCTGTGAATTACAACTTACATTACTTGCCAGTGTGGCCGCAAGCTGGTGTTGCCTAAAAGAAGCACTTTCAAGGGGATTGTAATGATGTTTCTTATCCTTCATTTCATTTTCAAATTTTTCTTTATATTTAACCTATCACCCAAAAAATAGGTTATATTAAATAACACATTTCAAAATGAAAAGGAACACATTTGAGTTTTAAAGAGATCAAATGGAAAGCTACCTTAAAATTGAATGGCAACACAATTTAAGTTCCCAGTTTCCATGACCCTTCATAAAGCTTAATTAGGCACAATTTTGTTTTAAATGAGCCACCTGAAGATTGACCATAAATGCAGTTAGTCATGCACTCAAATGCTACTCATGAGCACTATCAAAATATCAAAAATTTTAAAAGCCAGCTTCTATTTCTGCACTTCTGCAATCTAGATCAAACAGAACTCTGGAGCACAAATCTCTTACAGTCTATTGTGTATGCACAATGGATTCTTGGTCCTAGAATTTGAATATGAATTTACTTAAGGAAATTATTCCAAATAAAGCATTAAGTGTGTACTGTGGTTTTTCTCATCATTTCCTATAGTTCATTTGTTAGAAAATTCACTTTTAGGAAATACATTTCTGAAATATCCTAGGTCTACTATGTATTTGTTTTTTTCTTTTTGGGGGCAGGGGGCTTTTTAAATGTATTTATTTTATTAGTACATCTTTGCAGCACATAATCATCACATTCATCACGATGGATTTGTACATGTACATAGCACATCTCAATTCTTTTTGGGGAGCCCTCCACTTACCTCCCCATTTACAAAAGATCTACTTCATTTTTAAATTTCTCCATTTTAACTCCATAATTTATTCAGCAGGAAAATCATCACTCATATTTGCTCTAAATTATTTTTATTTTTTAAGTAGACATATAATAACAAAAAGGACTACTCACTTACCTTATAGAACTGAACCTGTCTCCACTGGTAAAGAAATATGTGAATATGTGCTATAATTAATTGGAATATAGACACAAGGCTTTTACCAATAAAATAAGTAAGTAAATGAACTTAACTTACATCTCCTACCACTTTGATTTGTGGTTAAAAAAGATATAGATTTCAAAAATGAAAAGTAAGCTGTTTTATTCTTTTATACTATTTTTACAATACAATTCTTATAATATTTTTGCTTTCTTGCATCATTCTTGTAATGCATGTGCATTACAAGACCTTGTCTTGCAGAAATCTTTAGTGAACAGCAATTTGGGAGTGGCTCATGTCATCTTTTTCAATCAAGCCTCTTTGGGAGACCCATGTCTAATCCCGACGAGAGAGACTCAGTTAAAATCGGGGTGGGAACAGGGCATTTGGAAAATATTTCAAGGCAGCTTGCAGAAAATATTTTCTGTGCAGTTGTACTTGACAATAACAGAAGCCTCTCTAAAAAAATGATTTTATAACCTGAAATCAGGAATAAGAGCACAGATTGCTAAGGCAGGCTTCCTCCCCTTCTCTTCTCGTGGCTGTCACAGAAACAAAGGTTCTTCAGCCCAGTCCTCTCTGCAATGCACAGTCCACCACTTAAGGGCTGGTTTTGTCTCACCTAGATTTTGATGTCTAGGGGGCGTTTGTTCAGCAAAGGTAGTGACTCTTCCACTGGCTTCCACTGACACAATGCTTCCTGACCACCAGATTCAGCAGCACCTTTCTGAGTCAAACTCTCCTGCCAGCCAGTAACCACTGACTGCTCTCAGCTGGGAACTGCTTACACCTCACCATCTGCTCCAGCTATGAAATGCTGACCTGCACTGAGTTTCCTCTGCGTTTGTCATTTCTCCAGCCTCATGTATCATGAGTTTCTTGGTACGTATGAGCTAAAAGGTACGAACAGATTCTGTGAGCAGCGTTCAAGGAGCTGTTGCACTGTTTTTGTGCAACCAGGAGTTCACAGGATGAATACACTAGGAGCACAGGCTATCTCTAGGGTAGCATTATTTGGAAATAAAAATGGTAGCTTATCAGTTATTAAACCTGGCATTTGCTCTTCCAAGAAAATGTATGTCTGAAAAACAATAATCAATCTGTCACTCATCTGATATGTTGAGTGCAATAATAAACAAAGCATGGAAAATTTTATTTCATTCTAATCTCTAACAGTCTGAGTGATTTGATTCAAAAGATACAGTTTTTTCTTATTAATTAACTGCAAAGTAAAATAACTGCATTATTTTTAACATATATTGACCAGACACAAACACATTAACTGTTTCTCGCTTTTCTCTTTCCATAAAGTTTGTGCATTCATGAACTAATAAATGATCAAAGGGTTTAAGCATGTCACATTTCTCCCTTTCTCACTAGTTCACTCACTACTGGCACAAACACACTGAACCTCTGTCCTATTTTTAACCAATAGCTACACAGCTGAGTCCTATCTCCTTACCCACACTCATCACCCAGAGATTCCAACAACGCTTTGCTTTGACTGTAACTGGTTCCCTGAGGCATAGCCCTTTCACTTTTATGATTCATTGAAAAAAGATAAGTGTTGGTTTTAAAGCAAAATACTACTTATACCTAGATTAATTATTTTAGAAACTAATGGCGTTACTTTTACTACATATCACTGGCTTTATTTACATCATGAATGCTGTACCTAGTGGCCTGATATCTATCTATACATATACATATACATATACATATACATATACATATACATATACACATACACATGTGATGGATATATAGGATCAAACTCCTAAAAGTTTTCTAAAGAATTTTAATCTTTGCGAGACTTTCAGAGGCTGTGATTGCTAAGCTTCAATGATTTCATTTAAACTGGTCTTCATAACTGCATCTGGACAGAGCCAGGGTTACCTTGGCATAAGCATGATTTCAAAACGCATTACAGCTCACACTGTGAGAGGTACCTAGCTTCTCCATGATCTCACTTATAAGGCGATGCACCAAGAGCCAGCAAAAATGAAAAAATCTAGACCCTGAACAAGACCTTTTCACTGTTGCCACAGAAGCAAAGGTCAGGAAATTGAAATTTACTAAGTGCATCTTAATTACCCCCTGAAAATGAAAACTAAAAAAAAAAAAAAAAAAAAAAATCTTTATGTATCTATCTGTATAAATCCTCACCATTTTTGAATGAAATTAAACTACAAATGAGTAAAAAGACACCACAGATTTCTACTGAAGTCCATGATACAAATCAATCATATTTTTAAGCCTGAACTTTAAAGAAAATACTATCTCTGCTCTCATTTTCTTTACAAAAATAACACCTTAACTGGCTATGCATCAAATGTCAATAACCCAGAAAGAATTTGCTTAATCGGGCTCTGTATATTTGACAGCCTAATCTGTGCCATTTTAAAATGCAGATCAAAGATAGAGAAGCCCTCTCAGCAGCCTGCAAGTGGTAAGTGATATATATATATATATATATATATATATATATATATATATATATGGAGGTTGGCAGAGTATGGGCTGGGAAGAGAGAATAGGAGATTCCCCAAACCAATGAACACGTTTTACAATTTAAGGGCAATATGTATTGCTAAATTTTTACAGCAATCCACGGTGTAATTTTTAAATTTACAACCCATTCTTATCGATAGAACAAATGCAATGTTTGCTATCACCAATATTAATTATTATAAAATACAGTGATGCCTCAGTTCGTGAACTTAATTCATCCTGTGATTCTGGAAAAGACAGCCACATTCACATTCCTGAGAGAAAGATGGCCATGATCATGTTTGTCACCCAATGCAGAATTCACAAACAAAAACAAAATTTTCATGAACCGAGGTACCACCATATTGTAAATAAGCTTTTTTGCTGTTATAAAACTAAACAAAGAACTCATTCATTCATTCATTCATTCATGTAAATTTCAAGTAAAGAATTCATATGATATATAAATATGTTAAAAAATTAATCATCCTGAGTGTTGTTTTAAATTGATGGCTTTAACAATTAGTACTTCAGGGGCTGGAGATTTAGCTCAGCGGCATAAGCGCCTGCCTTGTAAGCAGGCAGTCGTGAGTTCGATCCCCGGTACCGATAAAAAGGAAAAAGACAAAATAAAATTGAAAAAAAAAAAAAAAAAAAAACAATTAGTACTTCAGGGTATACACAAGCCAATCTTGTTTTCTTAGCACTTGAAACTTTAGGCTTATTTTTTACTGATTATTTTTAACGACTTGACCGTAATTTTATGTGCCTTCCAAGTTTAAAAAGAGAAAGTTTACAACAAGGAGAGCTAAGCTATTGTAAGAGCTAACAGAAGAAGGTTTTGGTATGTGTTTCCATGAGCTTTTATGAGCAAAATCCCACCGAGCTCAATTTACAGGTAAAATGCAAGCCAACTTGCCCACTGGTTGAGTCGTCTTTCATCAAGTGCATCTTATCACCTGGTACCATGCCCACCGCCTTGTCAGGGGCTGGCCCCTCAGAATTCCTTTGGTGCTACTTTGCACGTTTCTTCCTGCTTCCTGGCTCCCCAGCCCCTGCCCTACTTCCTGGATAAGTGAATTCCTCATTCATTTCCCCTTCTATGTATTCATGTGCCTTTGTCATTCATTTGGGTAACCAAAGAACACATGGTCTTCAGAGATGTCAGTGAAAATAAGAAACTGTACCTTTTGCTTTTATTTCAAGGTAAGAGCCCTGAGAATGGAAATCAAACATACTGAGGTCATTCCAGTACTTCTGTTTATCCATCTACCCAGATTCCCTTTTTCTGGTGAGTTTCTATGCCATAAGGTAAATAAGCGTTTCATGAAAAAATAAAGATTACAGATAGAATGCAACTCAAAAATTATAATCTGCCTAAGTATCTGATCACTCAGTTGCTACAATTGGAAATTAAAAGAAAATCTACCTAAAAACTCGAACAGAGATCAAGTAGTAGGATGTTTGCAGAGAAACTTTGAAAAGTGAAAGTAAAAGCTCAAATGTCCAATTTTTCTTCCAAGGGCTTTCAAACAGGATGGGTAAAGAATGAAGGTAAGACCACAGGCTCAGCCTGCGTGCTGTTCTTGTTCCCTGCTGTGTGTAAATTCACCTGGAAAATAAAAAACACTGAGGCCTCAGAATGCAATGATTTCTATGAAGCCACACAATCTATGGGCCAGGTACCACTTTTGAGTACTCACAGCAGCAATACCGAGAAGCAAATACTATTGATGTCAACCCCATTTACAGATGAGGAGGCTGAAGACAGAAATTAATCAATTTGTCCAGGTCACTCTGTGAGCAAGTAACAGCACCTAACCCAAGTGACCGCACTCCAGAGCCCATTTCCTTAACCTCTAAAGCAAAGCAGCCTGCTTGGCCACAGTCTGCTCTGTAACAGATGGGAAGCCTTCGCTTTCAGAAAAGCGTGGCGTGGTGAGAAGTCAGGGAGCTAGGATAGACTGCTGAGGCTTCCCATCTCTTCTACAATCACTACCTAGAACGCAAAGAGCCTGGAATCACCGTGCAGCCTGGCTCATCCCATGTGCCCCAACCTCGTCCATCAGTATCCTCCTGAGTCACAATTTTGTTTTATAGGCCAAAGTGCCTTTTAAACTCTAACGCTCTTAGTAAGAGACAGTGACATTCAGGAATCTCTCATTTCTGCCTCTCCTGTATATCCCTTCTCTCTGCTTCATTTTCATACCCACAGGCAGAGGGACTTTTTGAGCCAATCACTTCACTTGTGATTGTTCACAGCAAGGCCAGCAGGCCTTGGTGACTCCTGTCTCTTGCAAGGCCAGACTTTCTGCAGAGCTCCTACACTAACTTCTCTGCAGCAGAAACACTTGCACAACTTTGCCTTACTCATCATTTTCAGTGAGGTAACTACTTATTTTTTACCTACAAGTAGAGGCTGAGAGACTACAGTGAAAGTATAAGTTGTTCTTGGAATTTAACTTCTAAATGTCCACCATAATTAACACTTGGAAATCAATGTCTCCTTTTCCATTTATTTCATAGTGCTTATTATTCTAGAAAGAGTGGATCTGGGGAATTATTCTGTAATAGAGACAGAGTTTCACTTTTATAGGATGAAAAGAGCCTTTCAGACAGATGATGGTGATGGGACTACAGCATTATAAATGTGCTTAATACTGCTAAACTTTAAATGGTTAACATGGTAAATTTTATTACTATCATACCATGGCAAAAAATAAAGTTAACATATCTATGAGGTATAATCACAGATTACAGAGAATGCTTAAAGATTAAACATGTAAAAGATACATTGCTGTCAATCTTCTTGAAAATTCACCCCCTCACTTTGAGCACATTTATCTCATTGTGCTTGTCGCTTTTTCCAGGGATTTAACTGATTACCTCACACTTGCCAGGCAGGTGCTTACACCACTGAGCTAAATTCAGGGGCCCCTCTTCCCACTTTCTGAATCAGTTCTGGAAGTGTTCTTTCATGAGGGTCTTTATGAGATGTGGTCAAAAATACAGTGAATACTGCTGGTTCCTAGTCTTTAAAGTGATGACCACAGTCAAAATCAATACAGCACTGACCCATTTTTTACAAAAACTCCACTCCAATCCATTTACGTTCACAATCCATATCCTCTGCCTAGAACCACTACTGCCAGATTCTCCTTTAATGGGGGTTTTACCTTGAGCAGAGTTTGCTCTCTCTCTTTAAAACAGTCTAGCTCAGAGCTACTCCTACACAAAACCTTTCCTAATACTGTGCCCTTTTCTCCCACGCTAACAAGAGACAGAATGCTGATGGGTACGAGTGACATTTCTCTCTCATTTCACTGGCATTTCCTTTCCTGCTGATTAATGTGAGCATCTTTTTTGACATATTAGTGGCCATTTATGCTTGTTCTTTTGTGAAATGTCTATTTCATCTCATTTTCCACTTTTTTCTGGGCTGTCTTTTCTGTTTATACTTTGAAGAATTTATGAGCTATATGTGTGTCTGTGTGTGTAGTTTTACCATATGTTTACAAATACTTTTCCAAATATTTGAAGACCACTATTTTTTATATTTTAAAAAAATGTCTCAAGTTCGATCCCCAATACCAAAAAAATAAATCCCAAACCTTCCTTTCTCTGTACATTACCTTATTATTTAATTTATTCAAATATGTCATTTTATTCTAATTTTTGAGAAGCCTGTTTAGATTCTAATTAGAATTACATGGAGTTTTAAAATTTGATTTAAGAAGAATTAGCATTCTTACAATATTGAACATCAAGACTCTCAAGCTAAGAGCACAGTATATCCCTTCCTTTACTCAAGACTTGTTATTCTTCAAGTCAGATTTTGTATCTTTTAGCATTCATATTTTGCAATGTAATTCACTTAAGACCTTTGCAATATGACAAATGAATCATCTCAAAACTGAAAACACTATAAATGTGTAAAACACATTACTTGTTGACTCTACAATGTTACCTTTTCCACTGAAACAGGTTTTAACTTTTGTATGATCACTGTGTGTGTCTAAGTATTCTTTTACATTTTCTCATTCTCCAGTCTTATGTAAGCCCAACTATGTTTCCTTTCAGTGGTATACACAGAGAGTTTCCAACATTTTAAAATTATTTGGTTGTTTGCATTCATATTTTTAATTCACCTGGAATTCACCTGGAATTTGCATATGGTTCAAGACCTGGACCCCAATTTTTATTTTATCATGATGGATAACCAGTTATGTCAGCACCATTTATGAACTCATATAACTTTCTTCCATTGAGTCAATACTTTTCCCCTATATTAAATTTTTAAAATATTGGAATGGATTCTATCCCACTGGTTATTTTACCTCTCACTACACCAATCCCACATGGATTTCATTTCAATGGTTTTTGATTCTCTTTTGGCAACTCATAATTTAAGTTCTCCATCACTGATCTTCATTTGCTTACTTTTAAAGGCTTTTCTTCAGTGATTCCTTTCCATACAAACTATAAGATCACTTAATCTAACTTTTAAAAAAACCTACTGAATAGTAAGTGAAACTGCACAACATTCATATGATAACTATAGAAACTGATTTTTTTTTATCTATTGAGACCCTTAACCTATACACATTTTGGGTCCTTACACTCTTTTCAGATCTTATTTTATGCTTTTTAATAAATTTCCAAAGTCTTCATTTTTATCATCTCTGTTTTATTTTCTTATCAAAGTCCTAAGTGAAAACTGACAAACTACTTTTATTACTAAGTTTAAAATTATATGTATCTACTTTGCATACATATAAATAGGGATATAATTATTTGGTATGACTGTTATAGACTTCTGGAAATTCCCTTAATATGACATCATGACCAAACTCACTGAAACACGTCCAGGAATGAGCCTGGAGAAAGGAAAACTTTGTTCTATGCTGAAAATTAGACTGATTTTTCCTTTACTGAAATTTGTAATTATTGCAATCCTATCTGCAATGGCTTCAGAAACATTATCTCTGTTTATTCTTGCAAGTAAAGATATTATCTAAAATGAAATATTTTTCTGTGTTCCTAGAAACAGAATCTCTGAATATAGTCCTTGTGGAATTATCACTCTAGAGTCTTACTTGACTAGAAAGTTTAGAAGCTTCCACGGCATGTTCAAAATCTGGTCTTCCAATTACAGCAGGCTCTTTATTCATTATTCCTTGCCCTTTCTTGTATTCTGCCTACAATGAATAAAAAGAAAGTATTAAATAATCCTACTTTCCAATGAAGAACTACAGTAATATTAGTCAAAATAAAACACTCTTATCCCATTAGAAACATTCCTTATAACAAATCAAATAATGACTGTTAAAACAGAAACTTGTTTGATATTGTAGCTATTTAAATAAACTTGACTTTTCATAGTAAAATAATAGCTAAAGTTGAGCCTTAAGTATCGAGTCATTTTCATCTCCATATTTACTTATAGATACTGAAAAAAACAGATACTAGGGGAAATTTCCCAATAATTGAACCGTGTATGCTTCATATAGATACCACTTATAGTTCGATTTGTTCTCAAGAACTGATCTGATCATTTTGATTAACATGCAGTTGAGTTTAGTCATTATTAATTTTTAAAGTACATATATATATTCTATATTATTCCAATATTTAGTTTAAGTAAAATCATTTTACCAGGATTTTGGGTATGTTTAAGTAAAATGGCACTAATAAGAAAGAAAGTTAGGAGAGATTAAAAACAGCCATGGCATGCAGGAAATGTACAAAGGTGAGTGTTGGTGGAGTAGAATCTGCGCAATTAATAGCAACAAGATGGGAACAAGCCCAAGCAAAGTTCTTTGGATCGAATGAAGTGAGAAATTACATGGCCCAGAAGACTCACCAATTTGGCCTCCAGGCCAAGACATCTGAATATGATTTTATATCTAAGTAGTAATTAATTTTTCTAAAAGTATGCCACTAGCCATAGTCACATGAAGCTTGGGTCATTTCTGCATGTACCCACAGAATTCACATAATCAAATGGATACTTTAGGGAAAATCAAAGATGTCATGCATTCAGATAGACGAATTTTACTAACAACCCGACCACCAAAGCTGTGTGTCTTGTCTCTTACAAAAATGAAGGACATCATTTCTGTACCAGATTAAGAAAGACAAATTACATTGCTTATGATCTTGGAGATCTGCGTTGCCTTCTTGATATCCGGCCTGTCGAGCTCTGCAGTGTACATGTGGGTGTCCTACGCATCTTTCCTATAAGAAATCTGATCAAAGAGACAGTTTAGATTGAAGAAAAATGAATAATTTCATGTAGCTGCTAACCTTCATATCTGTAACATTATTTCTCTTTGTCATATAAGCTTAGAGAGCCCTACTGACCTTAAGTTGCTTTATTACATTTTGACATACAACATTTGTTTTGATATATTAACTTTTTACTATATCTATAGCTCACTAACATTAATATCTTTGAAATGAATTTATACTACCTAAGAAATGCAAGAATGAAGCACAAAACTACAAAATACAAGAATGAAGAATAAAGGATGTTGTATACACCTCTCTATTAGCATGTGTTTGTTTCTAATTGGATATGCTTCTATTCATGTGTAGGAAATCCTAATCAAGCACTTCGATTTCCCCTGCCCACATTTGCAACGCCAGTGGATGCAGATTAAGCCCAGCTCACAAAAACTGCAGGTCACTTCTTTTAGGGAGGGGAAGCAGTGGAAGCTCTGCAACTTTCTCAGCTACGCCCTTTCATCCCTTTCCCAACTGGACACTTCACAAAAAGTTTATGCCTAGAAGACCAAATCATGGATATCAGTAGTTTTACTCTCAAATGCATATGACTTCCATGACTTGGCCCTTCTAAAATAAAAGCAGTTACATTAAGGAATGTCCCTTCTCTGAATGCATGTTAGATACAACCAAGCCAAAGGATAGAGAGTAGTGCTTTAAAGAGAAAAACATACACATTTTGCCAAATGGAAAGTCTTTTAGCTAACGTTGTTTGTTTACATTAGCTTGAGTGACAAGTGGGAGGAAAGACCAGAATTAAATTGATAGAATGTCTGATGGACGACAGCTGACCCATCTGTTCACTTCTCTAGTTCTTGAAATCTGTCCTGAGCTAAACCAGTGATTGCTAAATATAATTCTATCCAGCAATATCATCAGAGGCTGGCTGACTTCCCTGTAATAATATATTCTGTTAAAGTTATAATGCAAGATAAATGGACAGGAATGACCATTTTAAAAACCTATCTTCATTTTTTCAGACATAGGTAGAACATAGAAATATGAACCACTGGACATCTGTACAAAGTATGCAATTACATTTTGCACAAACAATCTTTCCAATGTCACCTATAAACTTTCTGTAATAGCACCTTTTGCACTGCTTATTAAAAATTTAGATTCCTAAGCTCCATCCATACTACTCTGGAACAGAATTTCAGTATATGAGGCCAGGAATCTGATTTTTCTCCAATACTGGAGATTGTATTCGGAGGCAATTTACCATTAAGTTACTTTCCTGCTTCTTTTTCAAAGTGATTTATTTTGAGACACCAGCTTATTGTGTTGCCCAAGCTGGCCTTGAACTCATGATCTTCTTGCCTCAGACCCTGAGCAACTAGGATTATAGACATGTGCCCCACATCAAGCTAAGAATCTGATTTTAATCCTCTATTTGATCACTACAAACCAGTGTTCTAGGTAATATTTATTTATTTCCTTTTAGCCTGGAAGAGCTTTTTAAAAAAGTTGTCACTTTCTTACTTCTTTCAAAATAGTTATCAGCTGTTAAGAAATGGTAAAACATTAATACTCCAACAGGTTTCCTGTGTATTATTTTGTGTCAACGAAACATTAATATACACTTTGGTTTACTCTTTTATAAACTTGCATCTGCCTTCTCACCAACAATCTTTAAGCCACGCTTATAATCATGAAACTGCCTGATAGTTGAACACAGTTTAAATGCAATTAGTACAATTTCAGCACGAAACATCTATTTTCATCAGTATTTACATTTTCACAGGCTTTGCCTTAACAAGTAGTTTAGATGAGTTTGTGCACACAGGTAGAAAAGAAACATAAAAATAATCTGGAAAGTGAAGTATTTTGTTGGTGAATTTTAAGTCTTTAGGGATTTAAAAATAGGCTTATTTCATTGACCTCAAAAAGCAACACACTCATCTACAAGTGAGGGCAACTTGGTCTCAGTGGACACTGAGTTAAACACAAACCATGTAAACAAAAACCACCTCTCAGGTGAAAACAAACTGAAATTATTATCCTTCTCCAAGACTGTGTCTAACTTACTGCATTCATTTGAAAACCACTGGGTGGGGAGGATGTCTCTTTTTATTTAGAAAAGAATGAGAGAAAAAAGGGAAATCTTTACTTTTTGAAAAGAACTGCAACCTTTCAGAAATCTCCGCTTTACACGGGTTATCTAATTATATGCTGTTCAGCCTAATGACTGCGTGAAGGGAGGTGAACGGCACAAAGGCTGCAGGAGCAGGACTTTGAATAGGGCCCCATCATCCATGTAAATTGCAAATTAGAGGCCAGCATATGCAACTCAAAACAAATATTAAGATTGACACGAGCTGCGTATTCAAACAAGAGGACGCCACAGAGCTGCACAGGAGAAAAGCACAGGAGCCAATCGCCAGTGAGCTCTTCTGCAATGCCACTGTGCGGGATGAGGAAGAACAGGCCAGAGGGCGAGTCCTGACTTCACACTCCACAAGGGCGTCTCCACATACAGGGGCAGCAACGTGGCATCCTCAGTAGAGTGCTTGCCTCCGTGCACTAACTTCCTATACCCTTATTAGGTTTAAGGGAACTCATCCGACCTTCCTCAAAAGTCTGCAACCTGTGTTTGTCCATGGCATTGGGAGCACAGGAAGAATCAGAATGTTATGTTGCAGAACAGAGCACAGGGGGAGGGGGAGGGAAAAGGAGGAGGAGAGAAGGAAGGGAGGGAGAGAAAGAGAGACAGAGACAGAGAGAGTTTTCCCAACCAATCCAAGACCCAGTCCTAACCATACTGGAACAGTGAACTGGTCTCTATATTCTTCAGTCTTCTTATGACAATATGGGATCTACAGAATGCTGATGCAACTAAGGAGGGAGAAAAGAAGAGCTTCAACACAGAATGGGCGCCAACTTGACGGCCAGGAGTTGGTAATGCATCATCTTCTGTGATGCTTTATTCCCTGCTCTGTCCTCAGGCACAGGTGAGAATGGAGGAGGAGAGGGAAAGAAGAAGGGAGGAAAAGGAGGAAATCAGAAAGAGGAAGGGAGCAGGAAAAGAAACTACAGTAATAATAGTTTTAAATAGTCTCCATTTAGAACTACCATGTGCCACATTAAATATAATTCACTCTGAATGACATTCTTTTTCAATGACTATAGTAGCTATGACCAAATTCCTATACTACTCTTCTACTTCAAATTTTTTCTTATTTTAACCATTTAGTCTTGGTTGTGAACATCAGAAGGAGTTTAGCAAATTCCACAGCAGAAACAAATGTAAAGTACATAGGTATCGCATTACTTCTATAAAATGATTAAGGAAGAAAATGGTATATTGGGATTGTTTTAGTCTCTTCTTGGGAGAAGACAACACATTCCTTTTCTCTAAATCTGCATCTTTCAATAAAAACAGTAGTTATCAGCCAGGCCTGGTAGTGCACACCCATAATCCTAGCACTCCAGGAGGCTGAGACAGGAGGATCTCAAGACCAAGCCCAGTTTGGGCAATTGAGCAACTTAGCAAGATCTTGTCTCAAAATTAAAAAGGGCTACGGCTATAATTCAGTGTGAGGACTTTGAGTTCAACCCCCAGGACCATGGAAAAAAGTAGTTATTATACATTTATCTTGTACCCAGTGTAACGATGATAAGCTTTATCTTTTTAACAGTAGGTGAAGGCATACAGTCTTACCTGCAAATAGTGATTCTTACTGGAATACCTAAAATTACCTACAGTTGTTATTGAAATATTTGATGTCTGGTTTTTGCCCTTTTTCCCCCACTGGATTTCTTTGCCTTTCCCATTTTCCCTAACTCATTCCTTTGTGAAACACGTGCATTAATTTTTTCCTAGTACTGCTCCTCTTTCTTCTAAGATCAGTTACTAGAAGAAAATTTAAGTTTGGAAGCAACAGCTTGAGTCCTTTTAGACAAAGTCTGCCTAAAAGTAACATCGTACAGAAGCAATCAGAGCCAAGATACAAGACAGAAGAGGACTGCTTGTTGCTACATGAGGTCTCCAGATCCAGGGATGCCTGAAGGGAACTGGAATTTTCTAAGTACAGTTGGCCCTTCATATCCATGGGTTCTGCATCTAGAATTCAACCAAATGTAGTGAAAATATGTGTACTGAACATGTATAAATACTTTGTCATTATGCCCTAAATAATACAGCATACCAGCTATTTACACAGCACTTAGATATAAACAGTCTAGAGATGATTTTTAAATATATGGGAGAATATGCAGAGATTACATGCAAACGCTGTACCTTTTTAAATAAAAGTCTTAGGCATCTACAGATTTTTGGTATCCACAGAGGTCCTGGTACCAAGCTCCCATAGACACTAAAGGGGAACTGTATACAAACAATCAACTTTTCTTTTTAACTTGAGCTCACTTGGGATGGATTCCTGACCCTAACTCTACAAAGCTCCATATTTCATGTTTTCCTGTGGTGTCGAATTTGTTACTACTTCTAATAAAGAATTATAGTCCATCAAAGTCTATCTTTAAATTCCTTCTTTATCTCATCATATTCACCTCTGCCTTTGGCTTCTATTTTTTATTGTTCTCTTAAACTGGTCATGTTCTCTTCTTATATTCTTTCTACCTCCATTTCATAAGAGCTGTGATTTTGCACATTTTCTTCATTCACACAGCCTGTTCAATGTGCCAGGCACCACATCCTTAAAGTGCATGAATTCAAGAACTCCTCACCCTACCTCATTGTCCTGGGTGGTCTGTGTACAACCACCAGGTTCCATAATACTCTCTGGCATGCCCTTCCTTAGATCATTATGAATTAAACTTGGCCGTTAAAAGGAACTCCTATGAGATTTTAAAAGTAGATACAAATGCCTTTACTTTCTAAGTGCTCTGTCAGAGGACTCATGCTGATCGGCTAGTAAGCTTTTTATATGTACATCATGGTGATTTGAGACTCTGTGGTAGAGGAGTTAATAAAATAGAGAGAAGCAAGGCCTCCACCAGATGGGAAGTAAAAGACGATCACTTGGAGGCAAGAAGACTGGAGGGTGAGGAGTGGCAGCCTCCAAGAAAGCTACCAAGACCGCCAGTCAACCATGCACAGCATGACAGGTGGAGCCTGGAGGAAACCAAGATGCCAGCCCACAACCGATCCCTTTGTTACTCTGGTGAATTTTGAAATGATTCTTGGTGAGAAGAAAAAACTAGATAGGATATATCACATATTATATTTGGGGAACAGAAGCAAACAGTGTAACAGCTTGAAGCCCAAGTTCAACCATTCTCAAAAAAAAGGGGTCACTAAGGATTGGGAATCGCATCCCCTTTATTTGGAAGTGCTGAGGATGCAACCCAGAACCTCGTGCTAAATAAATGTTCTACCATAGAGCAATAATTTAATTATCTTAATTATACTTATTTGAACATTATTTTCTATATTCAGCATGCAGAAAAACTTTCAATCTTCTAAGAGATAAAGGAAAATATGGTAGTATGACTAGGACAAGTTATCATTATTGATAATACTTCATTTTATAGTCCACAAAAGTTTTCTTGCTTATAATTTAAATTTATTACCACCACTATCTTGTGAAGAGGGCTGCAAGATGAACAAATCATTAATATGTTTTTAATACTAAATCCTAAAGCACTATTGTTGTACCTCACACTGGGAAGCAGCACAGAGCCAGATCGTTTTTCCAGTATTATTGCACTGATTTGTCTTTTAAGCTTTTTCACAGAAATTTGTCTACTGATAAGTTTTTATTAATTTTTAAGACAGTATATATATCATTCTTGAAAAGAACATTAAGTCTATTGTTTCCCATGCTGAGTATTTCTTTTTAATACACATTGAACTGATTACCAATCTGGAGTTCGGGAAAAGTCTTATCATTCCAATTTCATCACAAGTCTGTATGGACACATGACTTATAAAACTCAAGATGAAAGTTTAAGATTTGTTGGACTTACTTCAAAACTATTGGACTCCATGTCTCTGATAAGACTGATTAGAACTAATAATGTAACTGAAGTTTTCATTATAAGCCCATCTTCGGGGAAAGGCACAGGACAATACTTCCAATTTCTCTAATTACATTAGAAAATTTTGGCAAAGGTGCGTCCCTTAAGATATAGAAGGGCTTAGTTTGGCTGTGTTTAACCATTTTGTGATGATAGTATCAACAAAATAGCCCCCAACTGCCCTTCTGACCTATATGTTTCATAACACTAATTTCACATTGATTTGGCCCGCCTATAAATTTCTTTTAAATGTTTTAAATTAACTATGATATCACCCTTAACTCTCAGATCACCTTATAAAAACTGGAGGACAACCAAGCAAGCCCAGCATTCTATGAAGCAGCTCTTCGATGGAGCCCTTTGCATGTATTATTCATTTACTATGTGAGGAAACCTAGGAGAGGTAAATACTATTGTCCCTGTTTCATAGGTGAGAAAACTGACATTCTGAAATATTAACTTGCATAATTTCACAAAGTAAGCACTTAGCCATGCTTAAAATACACACTGCACTGAAAGACATTCTGAGAAACATATTCTTTTCTGTGATCACTGAGTTTTAGGGTGTCACAAGAGACTACTCCCTCCAGGCCATTCTTCACATGTCAACTCTCAGTTGTTCAGAGGTGAGAATTCAGCGGTACAGTTACAATCAATCCTCTTTCCCATCCTGTTCTGCATATTTACATTCTTAAAGGTACAAAGGAGAGAAAGAATATGAATGAAAAACCACTGGCTCCCTCATGACCATTTTACAGATCTGACCAAGAAGGTGGAAAAAATAATAAAAGCTCTGAACAACAGCTGTCCTAATTTCTTGGTTTCAAAGATCTTTGAAAGCTGACTTGATGTGTTGGACACATAAAAAAGATAAGAAGTACACTCTGGGAGGCTGAGGCAGGAGGTTGTGAGTTCCACTCCAGCTGGAGTTTTGACTTAGTGAAACCCTGTTCCAAAATAAGAAAGGAAAAAAGAAAAAAGGTCTGGGAATGTGGCTCATTGTGAAGGCCTTGGATTCAATCTACATAAAAAGAGAAGGAAAGGAAGGAAGAAAGGATGAGAGAAAAGAAGGAAGGAAGGAGTCAAAAGAAGGAGGGAGGGAAGGAGGAAAGAAAGGAGAGGGAGGAAAGGAAGAAGAGATAAAAAGCAACGATGTTGACTTTTATTGTCTCTAGGTTAATCAAATTCACATATCATGGCACATTTTAACTTGAAGCCATTTATAGCTAAATGCAAAGAGATATTCCATATTACAAAACAATAATTCCACTAATAAAGTCTCCGCCCTGAATTTCACTGGACTAAAGTTTTATGATAGATGGGCTTTTGTCTGCTTTTTGTAAAAAACTCTTGTAGACTGACCAACTGAACCAAGAAAGTCCATAGTAGCTTTCCTTGCAGCTTTCAAAATCTATACTTAAATTTCATACTGTAGGGACAATGACTGTATTATTCTAAGTGGTTTGGCTCTGGAGGAATATCAGCTACTTCACAGGTAGAATACAAATATCATTCTCACTTTAAATCTGAGTAAATAGTTTTAAACACTTTCTAAATACTATTATACATACAAACTCTGCATGTAAAGGTTGAGCGGGTGGCAGAGGGGTGTAAGTAAACACGTCTTCCCCCGTAAGTACACAGTGTTGAATGGAGGAGAAAAGGGCTTTATACTCTATTCCCTCAATCCCTCAATCAAAGACCTTTTAAAAGACAAGGCAGAGTTTAAATAATAAGCCCAGTTCTATAAAGAACTTCCGTATTTGAATTTCATTGACTGATAGAGTTAGCAAGGGCCACCCAGGGATCTGTGTGATACCATCCCCAGCCCCAGTCCCCCTCCTCACCCTCAGGCCTTTTCTATGAATTCAAATTCTCTTCTGCATCAAAAGAATGGGAACTCAGGGTGTCTCCATTTCTCTTTCCTGTCGTACATTTGAACTCTGATAACAACTTTGAATGCTCTTTCTTCCTTTTTAAAAATGTATTTAAAATCTTGATTAATTGCCAGCGACCTTTAGGAAGGAGTTAGTGATACACAACAGAAAGTGTGAACCCAGGAGTTTGATTCCTTAGCCTTACTTTCTTCATCTACAAAATGGGAATTTGTGCAGGGTTTTTCTGAGCACTATGAATGATCAAAGTCTTGGCACAATGCCTGGTACATGACTGAGCTGGGTAAGTGGTGGTTATTATGATTATTATAGTAATTCTGTAAGCAAACAGTTCTTACAAAGCCTCCCCTTACCATAATGACCCTGTCTGATAATTGCAGATGCATAGCTTCTTCAACTCCTGTCAGTCTTAAATCATCCCAGAGAAGTGTTTTAATATGGGCAGATGTATACACTTGGGTTAGAATGTCAAGCCTCACTCTCTTTTTTACTTAAACATCAACCTATTGCAACTTAATACCAAATAACTGTTGTCAACCTGCAGAAAGATGCTACAGTAAATGGGCCTTGAAGGCTCCGAGTCGGCATAGCACCTTCAGTAGGAGGACTAAGGAAGGGAAAAGATTCTGTGCGGATGAAAAAGATACAACACAGACTCTTCTAAAACGGGAGTTTGTTGACCCAGCTGGGACAGGCATTTTGAACTGGTTGTAACCCATTAAGAACTTCACCAAGAGTTCCCACATTTCTTTTGGAAAGCTCTTAGAGGATTCTTTCAGAGGAGGTAGACAAGCTTCCACTATAACTCAAGGAAGAAATTATTCTAGACCAACAGGACAGTGGTGGTAATTGAGCAGGTGCCCTGGAAGCCTCGCTGGGGCAGGAAACTTGTAACCAAAAAGGAATTTGTGTTCTACAGTTTCTCCCCTCCTTCTTGGTTTTTTGCTTCTAACTCAGCTATTAGGCATCTGATGCATTTATATTTCACATCTGTTGAGTCTAGCTCGTATTTGAACTGCCTTTTGAATCACTGATTTCTGCTTTTTCTGCTTTTCCAGGCTGGGGACCCTGAGCCTTAGCATCAAGCTGAAGAAGCTCTGCAAACACTAACAACTTGACAGGTCAAAGAATCCAAATATCTTCTGTAAAACAAAATTTTCAATAGCTGATAATTGAAGGTTTCCAATGACTATTATCAGAATAATTCAGATGCTCTTTGCACTGATAAAATCTAAAGTTGGTTTGGAACTGAGTCACATTTAAATTTCAGTAATCAAAAGTCTGAAGATGTATTAACTATAATTTTCCAGAGAATTGTGAAGAATAAGCTTTCTTACATTACTTTGGTGTTTAGTGACTTCCATGGCGTGTTTGACCACAGGTGGCTCCTTCATGCGGGCATAATCCGAGAGTCCTTTGGTAGCATCGTGTTTCTGTTTATAGGCGACCTTAAAACACATACAAGAATTATTCGCTTCTTTTGGTGGCATAGAAAATTGTTACCTGTTAATCTTGAGTGTTTTGTTAGGATTTCATAGATTGAACTGCCTCCAAAAGTTAAGCTGTCTATATCTCCACACCAAGGTAATATACACAAGGGTCTCATTTTAGTGCTTCAGTTTAGATTCATAATTTCAATTTTATTGTTTAATTCAAAATGTCCTTGATGAGAAGATGAAACCTCCATTCTATTCATCTAGCTTAAATCTTTACATACAGTTTTGGGAAATCTCCCACATCTCAAAGTTTTCATGGTTACAAATGTTCAAGATTTAAATCTTGAGAAAACAATTGACCAGGCCAAAGAGGACTATTTATTTTTTTAAGTGAAAAGCTCTGATTTTATGTAGGCAAAGCTATTGTATGCTGTGAACCTCATTAAATGGCCAAACCTGTAGGAGAAAATATAATAAATTAGCAAACTTTTTAGGTATGTCAAGCTCTACCCTCTGTTGAGAATCTGGACATCACATCAATCCCATCCATTACCATTGGGACATATTTGTTCCATATTAGGCCGGGGCAAGGCACCAGAAAGACACCAAAGTAGATATAACCAAACGACAACACAGCTGGAAATTAAACATCCAAAAGACAACAGTCAAGTTTTTATTCTTGATTTTTTCCTCCATATTTTCTAATTCCTTTCTTTAATATTTGTAGAATGCCTTATTGTCTGCCTACCCTTACTAAAACATAACTCTCTGGTTCCCTCAATCCTCAGAGTCCAGAATTTATATCTCACAAAAAATTGGTATGAATGAATATCTGCTAAGTGATTGAATAAATAACTGAATGAGAATAAAACTGTAGTAGATAAAGGATGGAAAAACAAAATTAAGTTTTAAATACACTAAAAGTGTATGAAATAGAATTGGAATTACTTAGCATAGTAAAAGCAATTTAAAAAGAAAAACTAAAAAAGAAAAAGACAAAAAAATATAAAAAAAAAAAAAGAAAAAAAACAGGTCTAACTTTCATTGGGGAAAAAAAAATGCTAGCCTTAAGGAAGAATTCTTCACCAAAATGAGCTCCCTGAGAGCTCTATCTTACACATCTTTTAATATCCTGTGCCTGTCATAGTGAATGACCCAGAATAGAAGTGCAATAAATACTTAGTGGATGAACAAATGAGTTTATTCAATTTATTCTCATAAACTTAACACTCCATATTGGCTTTTATAAACAGAATTAACCACCCATTAGTTTAGGTAATATACCAATTTAAGGATTAAAGTGGTGATTATGAAACTAATTTTTATAATAAAGTCATCAAATCTTACCATCCAAAACTAGTCATCTTAGAACCATGCATACTTAAATCCCCTCTCCAGCTCCTTCTCTTTAAAACTTATACTGCAAGAGAACTCAACTTGGAATATCACGTCTCTAAAATTTGAAAGTTCATTTAATCAAACCTCCATCTATCTCACAATAGCTGCACTTACATCTGCCCATAGGGAAAGAGCCAAGGTCACAGTACAGAATTTCCAAGTTGTCAGCGAATCCAATTCCTCCAGACTGTCTACGTGGATGAAGGAGCTAAACTGATGACACCATGTCTTCTTTTTAACCCAAAACCCAACCTATCCATCCCTTTTGTAAGGTGCCCACAATAGTCTGATTTAAACCTATTCAGAATCATTTCATTTAATCCAGGTTGGCCTCTCCCACTTGCTAGGAATACATCCACAGGTCGTAACACTTTCCCTTTGATGGATACAATGAGATTTCAGTCAGTTAATGCAATTAAGTCACATTCAGTCCTCCCTAGCCAGATTCCCAGGCCAATTTTGTACATCTGGTTGGCTACCAGGATTCAAATGTAGCACCTCACATTATTCCAGGTAGTCTATCCATCAACTTACTCAGTAAGATACCTAACTCTGATGAATGTCTTTACATTTTCATCAATGAGTAATGTTACCTGGAAAACCCTTAAGAACTTAAGAAGTCCATTACCTCATTTCCATTACACTTTCTATTATAACTCTGGGTGGAGGAAGCAGGAGCTTAATGGGTGGCCAAGCCTATAAACCCAAGGAAAAACTTTTATGAGATTTGTTCCTGCTTTTAAATTAAGAGTGCTAGTATATCTTGATCTCCTTTTTGATGGTTGCCTGCTGTATTTTGTATTTCAACCAACTATCACACTTGTGGTTTTATAAACATAACCAGTGCAGTTGATCACTTTATGAGTAATCATAGAAACAGTGACTCACAAAGTTCAATTTTCGAAAGCACTTTCTTGAAAAGGCTATGTAATTTTCTACTCACAGCTTTAAAATAGTCATTTCATTTATAGCTGCTGCTAAGTACCACTTAGAATTAAGATTACATCAAATTGGAGGCAGCTTAACTTAAATTTATTATATTAATTTTCTTCCTTAAAATAGTTAATGGAAAATTATGGCAAGCTAACAAATCTTCTAATAATTTTGATTTCTAGGATTTGTCATTATTATATGGTATGTCTCCAGATTCAAACTGTCTTCTTCTAACTTTGAGAATTCAGACTGTCCCGGTTTTGAACACCTAAAGAATTAAGAATACTTGTAATATTCATGTATATGTATGTTCATATGAGTAACATACATTTACCGTGCACATTTTATTTTCTAGGTTTTCATACCTCATATTCACACAGGTACATGTAATATGTGTGTATGCTTACCTTCTAGTGTATTTGTAATTCTATATAGGTACATGTGCTTTTAATCCTGCAAAATAGACATCTCTGAATTCCAGAATTAGGACCTGTAGCTCCTACAGCACATAAATAAGCTGCTCAGTCCAGATGCCTGAACAGTCTGCACTACTTCAGTTATAAAGGATTAGTGTGTCTTCGCCTGAAACAGTTCCACTGAAGGAGATCCCACCACTTCCTGGCACACAGTCCATTCCATTTTCAGGTTTCTTTGGAATCTCTGTTCATAAAAATTTTTAATAGGGAGTAACTATTAAAACTCTGTGATTCTCTTGGCCTCTTTTTTCAAGGACATTTTTCCTTATCAGTCATCTACAAGTAAAAATCTAAATAGATTTACCTTTTCACATTAGCTTGAATGTAACCACTTAAAGATATATGGAAGTTGACTTTAAGATAATAATTTCTCAAAAGCCTCAGGCTTCTCATTAAAACCCAGAATGCCGTTAAGTTTCAAAATTCCTCTGATACTCTGAAATATATTGCCATAAATCTGATACTATGTGGACACAGTAAAAGTTCGGTTGTTTAATTACCACACTTAGAAATAGCTCTTCTGCTCCCCTGCCTCTGACTGCAAGGTGCACTCAGAGAAACAGACTCTCAACAATACTAAAATTAATCCAGATAAATCTGGAGAAATATCATTGCAATTATGCAAATCTTTGAGACAGACACTTTATTCAGAATCTAGGCTTTTTCTTTTGACAAGTTCAGAAATTCACCTCAATGGAAACCACTGCTAATGAGTACAGACACATTCCCTCTCCAGTGGCATCTATTCTATCACGGGATGACTCATATTAACAATGTGAGAACCTGTTCTGATCAAAAACAGTAGGAAAATCCCAAAATATCCACCATGGATTATGTTTCATGTTAAATTTCACACTGCATGTATGGATGTACTACAAAAACATGCATGCTATTCAAAGGTGAGAAAAACTGTATGTGTCCAAGGAAAGAAGCATGTGAATATTTGAAAATGTTAGCTTCTCAAATAACTTAAAAACACAGGTTCTTTTCCTTTTTCTGTATTTATGGCATAATGATTACTTGCCCCATATCAAATGTTGCATTACAACTATGTGCTTTATAAAGTATTCAGTATTACCAGCAAGTACTTTGATGACTGCAGATGTTGGCAGAACAAATAAAGGGCATATGGGGCAAACCAGCCATGCAGAATCTTGACATCATATATTTTTAGCCTCATGTCGCATAGCTGAGATTAGCTCACTGCCAAACAATATGAAGTAGATGTTTAAATTTGTAATAACGAAGTACTTAAAGATGTTCTGCAAAAAATAAGTATGCTCAGTATTTTTTTGGACTATTTGATTTACAGGCAATTTTATAATCATTGAGGTATCCTCTGATTAAAAAAAGATTCTGGAGACAAAGTAAAATTGCTTACTAAGAAAAAGACGGGTAGAAATGGAAGGAAAATGTGAAATGGTGTGTGATTAAGAACTCACACTTTGGAGTCAGACTACCCATGTTTGGGGACTGGTTCTGCCATTTCTTGGCTTTGTGACCTTGGAAAAGTTGCTTAAAATTCTTGCTTCAGATCGCACAACTGTAAAATTGGTTATTGTGAGGATTAAATGGAATAAATGCATGTGAAGTATACAGTAGTGACATAGAGTCACTACTTCTATGTGCTTGCTATTCTAACTAACCTATAACATGGCATAAAGAACATAAACCATGCAAAGAGAAGCATATCCTTGATAAAATCATTATGGTCTCAAGGTGCATTCATTTCCCTACAAATGACTCAAATATTCTATATTTTATGAGAAACTAGAAGACAAAAGCTTGGCTCCAAACACAAAGCAGTGATTGGACCATGGAAACATTAATTACTTTAACTTGATCAGTACCTCCCAATGCATGTATTGAAGCATCACACTCTACCCCATGAATATGTACAATTAGTACACACTAACCAAGATTTTTTGATGTTTAAGGAGATGAAAACATTAACTACAATGATTTAATCATCATACATTGTATATATGTATTGAATTACCATACTATATGCTGTAGATTTGTGTGACTAAAATAATAATTTTCTTTAAAAAAAAAAAGGAAAGAAACAAATGTGTTTATTCCAACCTTCTCATCCCCCTGCAGTCACAGTCGAGGGTGGAAGGTGTTTGTGTGTTATGTGAGCCTCCCCACCCCCCAGCCTGCACGGGCTCTGGGCAAGCTCCATCATTTCTCCAAAAGACAAACACTCATTCACCATTTCCTCTTGGGGAAATTAGGTTCAAGGGAAGGTAATAGATCACACACTTGCAAATTTGTGCTCTGCAGTTAACTCCTCAGGAAAATTAATCAATCACAGAGAACAAGAGCACCAGACTTGCCCTACACAGAAGTAATACAGCTAATACAAATAAACAGAACCATATTCTTGGAAGAGTCCCATATCAGTCCCCATTCAGAGGCTGATATGGGAGTTCATGTACTGAGCACATATCCTGTGTGAGCCTTTTGCCCTCACAAGTTAAGATGTTGGTCATAATAAAAAAAAAAAAAAGTACTGGTTTTCTCAAAATGGTTTCATGTTAGCAGAAATAATACTGAGAACTTCACACTGATCTTTTTCCAACATAACTTAAGAAACACTAGAGGTCAGTCCATTTACAATGCTATTTTATTAGCTGGCTTTTTCAAGTTTATTCACTGGCTATCATAATGCCTTGACACAGAAATTATTTTTAATATTATGTTTTATAGTGCAGCATAAGCTGCAGTTAGAAATGACCTCAGAAAGAGACTACATGATTTTTCAGCTGGAAAATGAATACAGTGTATTTCTCACTTTGTGCTTTCATAATGGGTATCTCTGTTGAGCTGAGTTTTATCCCACTAAAAACAGTTTACATTAATTTGAAACTATTAGTCAAAGATACTTCACTTTATGGAATCAGCTCATATAATTTATTTTCAACATTAAATTCAATCATTTATCTCTAATACATCTATTAGGAAAGCAGTAAGTTGAAACATTTATAGTTAACTATTTTGCCAATGCTTCCTATTTGTTGAATAAAATTATCTCTCTTCAAAAGTAATTCTGTATAAATAAGAAAGGACTGGAGTCAAAGTATAGAGTGGTTACTAAATCTACTCAAATATAATAAAGTCAATTTACATAAGTTAACATAGTACATAGAATTAAGTTAGATATTACCAACACTCAGTGGTGCTTTCAAAAATATTTTCCAATCTTATTACCTAGAGCTTTTATCTATAAAATATAAAACAGAAAAACAAATATATATATATATAAAATATAAAAAAGAAAAACAAGACTTTTTCTTCAGTACTGGAAATTGAACTCATGACCTTGCATTTGCCAGGCAGGCACTGTAACAAGTCACTTTGTAAAGAATCTTACCTCAGAAATAAATGCACCAATATTTTTTACATGATTCAGCATAGGAGTGTCAGTCACAAATGTACACTTGTCCTTAGACTTTTTATATTCTTCTTTATAATGGATCTAAAAAAGAATAATTTACATACGAAGGTAAAGAAGAAAAATACTTGTAAAGGACTTTTTGAACAGAGAATTCAGTTGGCAAAGTCCATTTTCTTAACAATATTCAAAGAGAAAAGATTTTATATAAATATTTATATATACATACACGAGATAGAGAATTATAGTACTAATCTCTACTAGTTCATCAAAAAGAATGGTTTGTGCTTTCATTATTTGATCATTTTTTCATGCCTGTATCTTGTAATCTGAGCAACTACTTTGAAGATAACAATATGCAATATATTAAACATTGTTAATTTATCACTTTGTTTTGAAATTCTGTATCATTTTTATTCTTTTTTTCATTTAAACATTTTTTAAAACAGGAAAAAAATATCCAAACGTGGACTAATTCTCAAAACAAAGTCAATTCTACCCAGCTATCCCGCTTCTACCTATCTTCTCAAAAGACTTAAAGGCATTACGGTACAGTGATCCCTGCATACCCATGTTCACAGCAGCACAACTCATAATGCCTCAGTCTTAGAAGTATCTGCTTACATGTCCATCAGCAGACAAACAGATAAAGAAAACGTGGTACTGACACACAATGGAGCACTACTCTGCTGCAGAATCATCCGTGGGAAAATGGAAGCACCTTGAAAACATAATGCTAAGTGAAATAAATCAGACACACAAGCTTAAATACCATGTGGTTTCTTTTATGTGAGAAATCCAAAGTATAAATAAAGAGCAAAATAAATGGAAACAGGGAGATAGATCTACTACAAATGGGAAGGAGACCAAGACATGGAGGGCGGAGGAGGGCCACAGGGGAAGGGGACATTAAAAAGGAATTAAGATGTGTCGCATACATATGCCAGATATCCACAGTGAAAACAGTCATTATGTATCACAAACATGTACTAATAAATAAGTTTTAAACATTCATATGCAGTGCAGAATTGCAAATGAAGCATACTAAAGAAAGACTATTTTAATAAGCAGAAGTCTCATTATTGTTGGGAATATTGACTTACAGACAATGAGACCTACTTGCCCCAAGAAATCATCTAACCCAAGTTTCATCTCACCCACAAAGGACCTAGTTCATCATTATTTTTAAACCAATGACTTTAACAGTTAAGTCCATGATCAAACAGAAAGAGCTGCCAATCTCAAGGTAGAAACCAAGCAGTCATCAGAACAGATGTGACACTTTAAGAAGTAAAGGCCAGAATTGAACAAATAGAGGTCACTATTGGCATTCTCAGCTATTTGCACTAGACTGGAGGGAGGGGCTCACAATGTGTCCATCACGGGCTTTGTTACTAATTAACTGTCCCCAAATCAAACCTGCCCAAGATATGAGCACCTCTTACCTCTCCATTCTCCACTGCTCCCCCAAGAGCAAATCAGCCCAGAAAGCCTGCCAGGTGGTCATCATGTCAGCGCACCTCCTGGCTGTCACCAGGTAGATCAGCCCAGAGGGGTTGAGCTGAACATGCTCATTCTTTCCCTCAAATTCAGAAGTAAAATGCGACATTTCCTTCTCCAGAGGGGGAAGACCTGGCATGAATGCAGTCACCGAAAGAAGCCAGGAAATTTGGAGAAGGCCCTGACCTGCCATCCCATTGTCACACTAAATGCAGCACAATCTGAGAGCTGCGGAGCCAAAACTTAGACAAGTCAAGAGGATGGAGATAACTTGCTAAAATTTATCTCACCCTGTGATGAAGTTGTGTTCATTTACCCAAGACTATAAATACTTAGGCTGGGAGAAATACCCCGGCTCTGATGATAAATTATACAGTCTCCCTAATTACGACCAAGAAGTGACAGTTAATTGTGTATACCACCTGGCTCTCAACACCATTAATATGAATGCTACACACCAGCACGCAGTGGAGATTTTACCTGACTGGGGGAGCATGACTTGACCTGAGGTATAACCAGACACAAACATGTTAAGTGAGGTTATTTCAAAATTCCCTATTTCGCTGCTGTGACTCTTAGCTATTAATGCCTCCCACATTAAACTCTTGCTTTATTCATGAAATCAACATGAGAACATATTTATCTTATCTGAGCACTAAATTACTGTTTTTCTTCTCAGAGATTAGCCTTAATTTTAGGTTCCTGCAAATCGCCCTCCTCAGTCACTAGTAATTAAATCCTTAATGGCAGTATGATAAATAGCAGGCTATTTTGATCATAAGGAGAGAAAAAGTTTCTCTATTATGTAATTAAGTGTGAGAAAAAATAGCCTATCATTAGGCTTAAGTTTGACTCATTATTTTTATCTGCTGCCACCATCTTTTCCCCATCACATCCACATTCTTCAGCGAGGGGTGTGTGCTGGTGGCCAGGGTCCCTCATAAAAGCTGACAGAGCGGAATGTGCCAGGCAGGAGGACCGGATAAGGGTGAAGTATTTGCTTCCTTTGCCATGGAGGCAAATAGCTCTGTATTAATTGCGGATTTCATGACTTTTTTTCTCCTCCTCATTAAAAAAAAAAGTATATACACTTTTATCTTTACAATTCAGTTGTACTTAACCTAAGATCATTTGTTTATTGTCATTTAATTTATAAAATTCATTAGAAGTCACACACACTGATTGAGAGGACTTTCTACTGAGTTGGTGTATAAGGCTCCTAATGAATTTTACAACATGGATGCTAAGGAGTAAATGATCTTAAGGGTGTTATGTGTTAGTAGGATTTCTATGCCAAGATAGTAGGAATTGGTCAGTGAAAGAAATTATGTTGGTCAACTACTTAAAGCTTGGGTCAAATAAAAATCACCAAATACATGACTATTTCCTATTACCACTGTATCTATGTCTTCAACTTAATTTAAGGCTGACAGCATCTGCCACATAAATTCCTTCATTCCTACTAATGAAACCCGACAGGATTCCTGAAGGTGGCCATCCCCTATCCCAGGCCAAAGGACACACTGACCAAATTCAGCATGGTCATCTCATTGTCCTTGGCCTGTGACTGGCTTGGGAGGGAGGTACTCAGCGCTGACTGACAGGCACCAGTGGAAATCTTCCCAGAGTGTTGCACACATTTCTGGATAAAAAGGGGACTTTGGATAGACTTTGACATTTCATGCTTCTAACTTTTTCCATCCCCGGCCACCTGGGCAGCAGCAATGCTATCACCACAAGGCGATAAGCCAGCACCGCAACAATGAGAGCAGAGCACAGGAGCGGGGATGAATGATGACATCCCATATCCTGAGACTCCACCCTGTTCCTCCAGGCTTTTACAGGGGGAGAAAAATACCCCAAACAATGGATTTCTCCTGCTACTTGCAGTCGTCTACACTCATCAACAACACACAACCGATGTATTTTCAAAGTAAGAAGGAAAGGGGGCAATGTTGATGACTGTATGGTCAATAAGGTACCCCAAACATTTACTCTCTCCTTCGGCCTTACCCGCTAATCCCATCATGTCTTGACTACAGTTACATGAAATGAGTTCAGTGCTGCTTCCTGTTCTGGCCAAGTTTCTTTCAGTGGTAGGAGATTAGCTAACGGCTGCAACCAGATGACAGATGTGGAAATGTTCAAGGCTATTTCCTCTTACAAGCCTTCTTAGCTGAAAACATTAGAAAGTCTTTTCACAAGTGGAACCATCCCAGTTAAGTTCAGAAAACCCCAGAAGAAAGAACTACAGCTCCATCACTGTGAGTTTATGGGGCAGGGGTGCCCTCTCAGGTTTTCAAACATGGTTTGGAGCAGTAGCTAGAGAACCTGCTGCTTGCACGCTGTGGGGCTTTATCCACGACAATGTTCATTTCATTGGATTATGTCCTCATCACCATGCAAGTGAACATTCTTAAAAACTCTGAATGAAACATTGAGTCAGTCAGAGGCCAAAGTGGATACAAACAAACCTCCTCTCCTGAAGGCTCTTTATGCGCCATTTAAAGCCAAAAAGAGTCCAACAAAAAGGTTCCTTTTACTCTACATTTCTTTACGACCACCTGTCAGAAAATTCCTAGCTCATTAGGTAGATAGGTTGAATTCATCCAAGGAATTAACTATGTGTTTGACAAATGGCTAAATATCAGAGAGTTCAGTTGAAGAAGTAAAAAGGGTCAGGTAGCTAACAGAAAAAACAGCCGACACTGCCTGAGAGGACTCAGTGTCCTTCAGGTGAGTCATGCAGAGGGAAATGCCATCAGGCAGTGGAGCAAATGCAAAGCAGGAACTGGCTAGGTGAGGACAGGAAAGCAGGGAAGTGGAAGGGAGCAGGAGGCAAGGAGGGGGCAAGGTCAGGAAAGGAAAGAAAATTCTCTCATGCTAACCCCAATGTGAAGCCACTTGAGCTGAAAAGCTGCCATTTGTCACTGTGGAGAACCTGAACAGTACGGGTCTTCCAGGACTGATCTCCAGGCCAATCTCACTTAACATTCCTACACACTGCCTGTCACGGGGTGACACAGCAAGGTCCCCAGGCCTACAGATGCCCCCAGCTCACGTGGACAGTGAAATGACAAGCTGAGCGAGATGAACCTTGGAAGTTGTCAAAGGCCAGAATAGAGCAGAAAACCACAGATTAGATCTGTGCCTCGTGAAATCCGAATAAATCAAACCACTACTGAAAGCCAACGGATCCAAGCCATCAGCTACAAGTCAGACGGTAGGGCTGAAATGACTCTGACTTCCAACAGAGACTGGCCCAACAGCTTTCTTCAGCCCTTACATGCAAAAAACTCTCCACAGTATCACAACCTAGTGCACATATAATCCCAGGCCCTTGAAGGTGGTCCTTACACCCTGAGGAAGACTTCCAAGGCTGGAGGAGTCCAGAGAAGAATAATTAGATAGATGAAGGGCATGCAGAAAGGCAGAGCAGCCTTTCACATAACAGAAATCCACCAGACCACCTTTCTCATCCAACAACTGAGGCAGAACACAGTGTGTCAGGCTCTGGACTGAGCTGCACCTGGGTATGCTTGAACTTCACCTCCACACTTACCACGTGCCACAGCTTTCAAGAAGCTCGCGCTTTTTCTGCACTGGATTCTGGGGGCTCTCGCCTACTTGTAATGTGTGTGGCCTATGCCCGTGTGGGGGACCTAGGCCCATGTGTATGGCCTAGACCCGTGTGGGGGACCTGGGGCTGTGTGTATGGCATAGGCCCATGTGGGGGACCTATGCCCATGTGGGGTGTTGGGGCCTGTTTGTGTTTTAGGGCCCATTTTCACTCAGCAATCCCTGGTACTGATAAATTTTTTTTTTTACTAACTTAGGAGCTTGTTGTCCATTTCTGTTGCAGGATCAATGTGGCTTATTGGACTCAAGGTTCATAACAAAAATTATTTCCTTTAGCTTGCAAAACTGGGGGCAGAAAAACCTTCATTTATGTCTTTAATGTTGGTTTTATCTTTTGTGGCACCTTGTTTAATGTTTTTATCCTCAACTGATTACTTGCAACCTCGGCATGTCTTTTAAATGTATTTTTCTTTATGGTTAAAATGTGAATATATGTGCGCATATATATGTATATTTATGGTTTTTAAAAATCATATTAACTTTTGCAAGTAAAAACCAGGTCATACTATAATTGAGCCAGTTAAAAAAGTTAGTTTTTAAAATGTAGCATTTTAATGTGGTGAAAAGAAATAAAATGATTACATAAGTTTTAGACTACTAAAAGAAAGTCATTTCAAGCATTTTGTTAAAGGTTTTAACAAAACCTAAAAATCAAGAGAAAAAGTAATTGACTGATAATAAATTTTAAAAAGTGGTTTTGTCTTAAAATAAAAATGTAAAAGAGAAAATGCTTTTTGTGCTATGGCTATCAAGAGCAAAGAGCTCAACAGGATGATTTGCAATATTGTGAGTTTGGGGGAGGGGAATTTCCAGGAATGCTATAGATTATAAAGACAAAGTTGAGATTTTGATTGCTTGCAAAAAACAGAGAAAAAAAATTCGTCTTCTACTACAATAAGCTGATCTAAATTTAAAAGAAATAACTATTATGCCTAATGTGACTGGTGATTATAGAGATAAAATACAAGTTCTTGCATGTGCTGTGGATATCTGGGAGATTATGCGGCACAATTACTTTTGTTACCTATGAAAAAGCCTTTTTTTGTTAAGTATGTACTTTCAGTAAAACAGTGGCCTGCCATGTGGGCAATGGCCCACCCTGGGACAAAAAAACAAAAACAAAAACAAAAAAACACAGTGTGCCATCCAGATAAAACCTGCCTGTGATCCAGAATGCCAAAACCATGTTTTCCTTTTGTCCCACCCTAATTGGACAACCAGAGATGAGGAGGTTCCTTATGGGTATTGCCAGTTGTTCTCAGTAGCCATTAGGGCACCCCAGAAAACCTACCTTTTGCCCAAGAGAGCAGAGGTGAGGCAATTGGCTCAACAGAGACTTACTAATTTCCCTCGGGGTTTTCTGAAAAGAGTGCAAAAGGCCTATCACATTTATACACTAGTAGTGCCTAAAAATGCAAGGGCCATTAATATTGCCTTTGTAACCCAGTCGGCCACTGATATTAAGCAAAAATTGCAAAAGTTTGAGAGATTTGAGGAAATGCCCTTCAGTCAGTTATCAGAGGTTGCTTAAAAGATATTTGACAACCGGGAGGACCCTAAAGATCAGGCTTAAGAGGTTTCTGCTGGGCAGAAAAACTGCATTGGTTGTTGGACTTTCCATAAAGAAATAAAAATAAATGACTCTTTCCTCCCAGCAGATGCAAGCCATCCAACAGATTCCAGTCCCTGTGACTAAAAACCGAGTGGAAAAATTTCGAGGAGCCATAGGACTGATGCAGAGTTTGGGACCCTGGCAGAGGCCTGTTGCCTATCTTTCCAAGACACTTGATTATGTGGCAGCCAGATGGCCACCTTGTTTGTGGGTGTTTTCCTCGGTAGTCATCCTGATAGAGGAGACACAAAAACTGACTTGTGGACCAAAACTCTTATTTTGTCTTCTCCTATTGGCTGGAGACTCTCATCAAAGCTCCGCCGGACCAATGGCTGCCCAACTCCCAAGTCATGCATTATCAAGCATTACTTCTAGATCTGACTACCATCAGTTTCAAGGGGACAGTGGCTTCAAACCCTGCCACTCTGCTGCCTGATGATGCCCCTCCTTGCCCTTCCACATCTGTATTGGGGACCAGACTTGACAGATGAGCCACTATTCAGAGTTCCTTTGTATTTCTCCGATGGAAGCAATTACATTTATCCAGGTAAGTGGGTTGTGGGAGCTGCCATTACTACAGACTCTCAGATTCTATGGGAACCAAGCCTGGAGCCAAAAACATTGGCCCAACAGGCTGAACTCATTGCCCTCACTGAGACCTCAAGTTGTCAGTATGCATTTGTTACTGCCCATGTTCGTGGGACCATTTATCAAGAATGGTGCTTATTGGCTTCTGGGGCCAAAAGATTAAAAATGTTTCCCAAATTTTGGACTTGTTGGCTGCCATCTGGATGCCAGGAAGAGTGGCTATTATCCACTATAGAGCCCATTGAGCAGGAGATGGCCTTGTTATATGAGGAAATAATTTGGCAGATGCCACCACCCAAAAGGCAGCTGTAGAATCAGTGGGGATTTGAGATAGCCCTGACATCACTGCATTCCCACCTACTTTGTCAGAGCCTATTTGCACTTGAAAAGACTTGCATTTGGGGGCTAATATCAAAGCTTGCCCAGTCTGTGAGTCTCAGATGCCCTCAGTGCCATTTGGTGAACCCAAAGCAGCCACTCACTAAGTGGGACTATGCCTAGAGAACACTGGAAGGTAGACTTTACAGATGTGGGAAAGCCTGGACTTCAATGATATGAGTATTCACTTATAATGGTTGATACTTTCACTGGATGGGTAAAAGCTTTTTCTACAAAATCTGAGTCAGCTCTGATAGTAGTCAAAAAACTCTTATATGAGGTTGTCCCACAATTTGGCCTCCCCTTATCAATGGGGCCTTAGAATGGGCCGGTTTTTATGGCCCAGATAACTCAAAAACTAACCAAAGTCTTGCAGATCAATTGGAAACTCCATTGTGCTTACTGCCTCCAAAGTTGAAGACAAGTAGAAAAGATAAACCAGACATTAAAGATGGTAATTACTAATGGCCTTAGAAACTGGTGAGAACTGGGGAGTCTCCTTCCTTTTTTGACCTCTTGTATGCACAGTGTACCCTCTATGTTACTCGTATTTCCCCTTTTGAGGCTTTATATGAGAGAACTCCTCTTATACCTAAGATTTTTGAGGAAAAATTTGCTGATTTAGCTAATCAAGATCTTATTAAGTCTCCCCAAACTCTTTAGCCAGTTCTGACTTCCACCCACTGGTTAATTTTGACAACAACATCCTCCACCTGCAGCCCACTGAGAGAACAAACACCCTGCTGTAGAGCCTGAGTCACCTGTGCTCATCAAGAGGCTTCACCATGGATCTCTTGAGCCATTGAAAAGGTCCCTACATTGTAGTCCTCAGCACTCCAACTGCTATCAAAGTAGCCAGAAAGCCTGCCTCGATGCATCATTCCCACTTGAAGCAGGTCCTGGCTTCCAAAGGCGATCAACCTACAGATAAGTGGACTGTCATTCCCTCCAAGGACTCTTTAAAGCTCAAGACTGCCAAATGTAACTAATAATCTTGTGTTCTCCCTTATAGAAACCCCAAGGAAACCTCTATCTGGCTTTTAAAAAAATTGTTAATTATGTGACAAAACAGTGAATTTAAATGTTGGTTTTCTTTCTCCTTTTGGTTAACAGCTTTAATAATGACAGCTGCAAGCAATTTGTTAATCTTCCTATTGGGCCTTGTATTATACTCAGATTGGAAAACTATGTCAAAGATCAGGTTCAAACTATACAGCTTATGATTTTAAAGATGCAAGGTTATAAACAGATACTTATGTCTGAAAACCCCATGAGCCAATGATTTGGTGCACTGACTAAAATCAGTGGGGAATGCTGTACACTAGCAAAAAGAGCTCTGTTACGTTTGTATTATGCCAAAGTACCTGTAATGCCGCCTACTGTTTTGTATGCATTTTCCCCCCTCTGGGTGACCTAACTGATATGTTAATCAATGCTCCCGTCTGTAAAAAATTGTAAATCCCGGGGAACCTACCCTAATTGATATGTTAAACATCATTGCCCTCTACTAATAACAGATGTGGTGCTAAAATCAGCTGACAAAGAATTAACTAATGCTAGACTACTCTGTCCTCTGCTAAGGAAAACATTTCCTTAGCAGATTTCCTGATCCACCCCCATAACCCCTTTACTTTGTAAACTCTGCTCTCTACAAGAGGCTAGAAAGCTTTAAGGAGGACACACAGCTTTTGCAGATTCCAACTGCACTGTGTTACAGGGCCCAGGATAAAATAAATCAGCGCTGCTTTTTGAAAATAAAAACATGTCTTGCCCATTTTTGAACTTGAGTTTAGGCTTTGGGGGGCTTGTTTGTGGATTATAAGATTTAATGGCATATTTTTATCATTTTATCCTTTCACATGTTATATTAGTTGCTAAAGTTACTGGTATTCCTTGCTTAACTATATTTAGACAATAGCACCACAGATAATAATAGAACACCCTGAATAGTCTTTAATATAAATTTCTATTAAATGGTTTTTTTAAATGAAATCTAGTTCAGACTTAGAAAACATACATGCCTGCAATAAAACATGGGACTCGTTCCACCATTTAAGAAGCACTAGGCTGGTGGCCATGCTTCCGGATTTGGAGCACAGGTTTCATTGAGACAGACTGGCTCTGATCCTCCTTTATACTCCAGAGGAATGTCAAGCCTGTTCTGTTTCCTTTGTTTCACTTTATCTCTTACTCTCTTGCCACTTTACATTTTCCTAATAAAGGCATATAAAAGTGGGAAAAACTCTAGATTATTCCAACCTTTTCCTTTTGAGTTAAGCCCATAGAAAATGAGCATTTGCTAATGCCAAGAACAGGGAAGTCATCTTAGATGAGGGACACATACCCCATCTCTGGGTCAGATGAGACATCAGAATTGTGCCTATTCAGGAGAATACACATGAAAGCTGTGTCCCAGCTCAGTGTTCTGGGCAAATCTCCTTTGGAAATTAAACCTGAGACACAGTGGGGAGAACCAGTTTCCATGTGGCAATGGAAGCAGCTATCCTTAAAAGCAGCACACATAGGGGACGTAAACCTATTTAGAATAAGGAGGCTTTCCAACCTCTCAAATTATGGACTTAAAAACCTTTATTATAAATTGATAAATGTGTAGGTAATGATCTTGCAGTCTTTTAATTATCCCTTATAGAATTTTGACACACAGTGGTCACTGTGCCAGCTAATCATCCTTACAGCAACTGCCACCCTCAAAATCAGAGGCTAGCTTTCCCCAGCATCTGTTAGGTGAATCCCCATTGAAGCCAGTGGCCAATGGATTCAACAGAATGTTGACCAGACAGGCAGCTGGATTCCTTTTTAGAGACTGATTTCTGGTTATCTGAGGCAATAGAAACTGAGAACTGAGGGTTCCTGGCCAGAGCAACACCCTGGTTGGCACCCAACATTTCCTCAAAGGACATTTGCTCATGACCACTTAAAATCTCCCCTTTTCTATTATCCTTATTTCTCTGCTAGTAGACTAAAAACATTCTAAACTTTTCAAGAGATCTTTAGATCACTTAGACTACCCATCCCTTCAGAGATTATACTGAGGTAGCTTGCAACGATTGCTTACATTCCATAGCAGCTAGTAGGGAAATGATTTACCTATGTTAATTAAAACTAAATAGACTTGAACAATTATTTCTAAGATGACAATATATAATCTATTAACTAGTGATTTCTATTTTTTTGAAATTCTGTATTACTTGTACTCTTTTTCAGTTTTTTCTTTTCTCTTTAAATAAAAGTTTTTTCTTTTGTCTTTAAATAAAATTTTTTAAAAAGTAGGACTTCCGGGACAACATGGTGCACAGATAGCAGATACTACGGAGGCTCTCTGAAAGGCTTGGTTCAGAAGTCAGGAATGGTGCGGACTAAGGAGACATAAGCCGGTAGAGATATGCTCTGCTGACTCAGGAACGAACTGGGCTGAGAGAAACCAACTTGGAATGCAGTCCTGGTGCTAAAACAGGAACAGAAAAGCCTCGGTGTGGAGTCTAGACCCCGCACCAAAGGAAGCCATGATTTGGGTTTCCTGGCGTGCTGCGGCTGGCTGCCTCTACATCGGCTCGGCAAGGAGAGAGACGCGCAGAAGCTCTGAGAACGGGAGTCTGTGAACGGAGTCGAAAACAGGATGGCCAGGGAGGCGTACACTGACTGGTGGTGAGGTGAGTGAGAGAAACTGACACTCTACCACAGTTTGACTCCAGTGGAGGACTTTCTGGGCCCGGGCAGTCCTGCGGGAGCAGGGCGCGGTGGCGACTCCAGCCACACATTCCCCTCTCGGACGGGATTGGTGAAAAGTGCCTGGCCTGCGTGACGCTGCTGGTGGACTAGGTAGGCTGGCCCAACCCAGATCCCAGAGCCTGATGGTGGCCCGGAGGGGCGACTCCCACGTAGGCTGCCTAGTCCGTAACTCCCTGGTGCGCTGCGGTGGGCAGGAACACCTAGTCAGCACAATTCGATCAGGCTGTGGCTGACAGGAAGGGAAGCTGGGCCTCCTGTGTAAACTTGCATATATAAGGAACAGAGAATATGGGAAAAGGCAGCAACAAGAAAGGCTCCTCGGCCCCCAATTCTGAGAAACAGGCAATAGCGGACACCGCACCAATAGACATAAAGCGCCATATAGAGAGCCTCATAGACCAATTCAGGAATGAAGTTATCAATGACCTGAAGCTAGAAGTATGCAGAATAGTTAGAGAAATGCTAAGCACCACCCTGGAAAAAACAGATGGTAGAATGGAAGAACAGAAAAAGAGGGGAGAATTGTTTGATGGAGAAAACAGAGAAAGCGTAGAGTACGTGAAGCAGGTTCAAAGGGACTATCAAGAAACTAAGAAGTCTATCCAAGACTGGCATAACAGCTTGAAGGAAACTAAGGACAGACTATCTGAACTGGAGGGCATGCTTGTAATATGGGAGAAATAAATGAAAAACTTCTTAAAAATAACAAAGAAACAAATAGCAATAATACAAAGACAAGAAGATGATAAGAGGATCCATAACTTAAGGATTAAGAACATAAAAGAAGAAGTAGGGACACAAACAAGTGAACTACAAAAGCTACTCACAGAAATAATCCAGGAGAATTTTCCTAATTTAGCAAAAGGTAAAGATATTCAGATGTATGAGGCATACAGGACCCCAGCTACCTACAACCCAAACAGAGCAACACCCAGGCATATAATAAAAATTCCAGAAATTCAATACAAGAACAGAATATTAAAAGCTGTCAGAGACAAGAAACAGACCACTTACAAGGGAACACCCATCAGAATTACAGCACATTTCTCTGCACAAACCATCAAATCCTGAAGAGCATGGGGGGAGACAATTCAAACTTTGAAAGATAATAATCTCCAGCCAAGATTGAGATATCCTGCACAACTGTCCCTGGAAATTGATGGAAAAACAAGGTGCTTCCAGGATAAAGAGGAACTGGGGGAATTTGCAACCACCAATTCAACTCTATAGAAAGTATTGCAGGATATTCTAAAAAAAAAAAAAAAAATACAAAGAACCCAGAAATAGTGGTGGGGAGGCCACAACGAATGGAGCAGAGAACAAAATGAAGAAGACAAACTGACAGCTACTGACAGAAAAAGAGCTCAACAGAAATGAGACAGAGAAGATTGAATGATAGGAACAGCTATTTTGGAGAAAATGACATCTTAATAGGTAATACTGATTTAGTATCATCTTGCTTTGAAGTCTCATCTAGCTTTTGTTCTTCTGTCTCCAATGGTCTAAATAGGTTGTATCTTATTGGAGTTTATTATGTACGATAGTATAAGCAAAAACCTTTTAAAGACAAGGAGATTATACAGAAACCATTGTTCATTTTCTGTTAGTCGATTCTAAATACTCTGTAATGCTGTCATTCTCTTAAATGGTTTTACATTGTTTTGATAAACTGAATGCTACCGTATATGAACTTGTACTCAAGGACTTCAAGGAAAGATTCAATATGGTAATTACTTTTGGGTTGGAATTATCTGGTGGTGAAACACTATTCTGCTTAAATGTTTATGTTTTGATCTGCGCTGTTTCGCTGTTATGCCCTTTTTTATCCCAATCTCCACTCCATTATTTACTCTTTTATTTTTATCCATTTAATTAAAGGGAAAAAATAGCAGGATATATTATAGTAACCCACTTTGACTTTCTATTATCTCGATTTGAAGCCTTGTATTACTCTCACCATCTTGTTTTTGACTGATGTTCCCCTATTCTGTTTTGCTGGATAGTATCAGGTTCGAAAGTTTAGGCATCAGCTGTGAAGATAATGAGATTCATTATGACGCCCATTCTCGTTGACTTTTATCTACTTTTGAAGACCTACAAAGTCTCCAATGGTTTGCTTTTGTCGGTTTTGTTCTTTACTGTTTTGTTCAATTGTATTATAACTAATGATATAGGCAATTCAATTAGAGATAGCTGGAGGCATTATGGTAACCACTGTTGATCACCGTGTATTATGTTTTTACATTATCTATTATGTCCACCCTTTTGACTTGACCGATTCTGTTGTTATGTCACATTTGGTTTTACTCTCTCCCAAAAAAGCAATAAGAACCGTGGGAGCAATGAAACCCAAAATGTGTAATAGTCATTGTACAAAAGAGAGGAAAAGAAAGTGCTCTAAACTATATAACTGCATGTATATTTAAGTGTATAAGTTAGAAAATGATATCACAGAGTTTTAAATCATTGAACAGAACTGTTTGCAGTATCATTGTTGGAATGTCCACTCTACAAGCTTTAATTTTGTGACTTGAACAATTATTTCTAAGATGGCAATATGTAATCCATTAACTAGTGATTTCCTACTGTTCATTTTTTTTCTGTAAATCTGTATAACTTGTACCCTTTCACTGTTTTTTTCTCTTTTCTCCTTAAATAAAATTTTAAAAAAAAGTAACTAGGATTTTCTGTGTGACTAGAAGACTGATGTGCCTCTTTCTAACTTAAAATGTGACTGCTAGATGATAATTTATAAATTTAACCTGTGAGCTTCAAAGATACAGAAATTTAAATGAAGTATAGCCTTGTCCTGTTACTAAGAAAAGTTACCTAGATAATTAAGTGAGAGACAAATGTCTGGAGACTCTTTTGCCCAGATTAAGGAGTAATGCTCCTCCAGTCAGGTGTTCTATCTATCTCTAGAGGAGAGCTACTCTAAAAAACCTGAAAAGTACTCTACCACCAACTCACCTTTTAATGTATGCTCCCTTATAATACATGTTTACAAAGTCATGCTTCCTTCGCTAAACATTCTTTATGGAAACAAAGCTCATGAGCTATCTGGGAATATAGGATTGTGTGCCAGTTCCAGGGTGGATAGGCTGACAGAAACTATGGTCCATTCTCTCCAGAAGGCATTCACCTGCCCTGGAGCAGTTTCAACCCAAGAGACACGTGGGGAACATCTATCAAACAGGGAAAAAAAGGACACCTTATTTTAACTCATTTTATGTATAACTAGATAGCTCAATATCTCTCATAGCTCATTAAACGGTCCTTAGTTCAATGCCTGGGTACAGAAAAGGTTTCATACTTATGCCTTGCTTTTACATTATAGACATGGACAACAAAATGTCAAAGCCCATTCTCCTTTGGAACACATTCTTAGGCACTAGATGTTCGAGCCTTCCATGTTGAAAAAGATCCAATTGGTATTTCTCTGCATGAGTGTGTGGCCTACCTACCCCCAAGAGCCTTAGTGGAATACAGAGGTAAGTATTAATTATGATCCTCTTTTACAACTAGAGACATACAACGAAAAGGAGGGGAAAAGGTCAGTGCTGTCCTACATTCAGACTTTCTATGCATTGGGAAATACTTCTTATTTATATTCTAAATGTAAATGTGAGTAACAGGAAAACTCAGCACCTTGGGCTCTTAAGGCATCTTCTACCCAAGAGCCAAAAATTGCACCTCCTGAACCTTTAGAACCTGAGGACAAAATAGCCTTAATCAAATCCTCCCCCACTTTTACTGAACCTAAGGTTTCCCCCACCTGCCCTTCCAGCCTTAAGGATAAAGCTTCTAGGCCAGCTGTAATCCAGGCCTTTCCAGGACTATACCCATCCTTAGCTGAGTTTAAGCAAGCTCCTCAAGGGCAGTATCCTTTGCAGGGAGTACATGGATGATCTGGAACTTCCAGAATTCATGTATCTTTCTCTCTTGGTGACCTAAAAAAAAAGAAATTAGATCTTGGGAAATTTTCAGATGAGCCTGACAAGTACATTCAGGTCCTTAGAGGACTTACTCAGGCATATTAAGTAGATTGGAAAGATGTAGTGTTACTCTTAAATCAGACATTCATTTCTAGTGAGAGACACGCAGCATTACAGGCTGCTATTGCCTTTGGATATGAATACCATATTGTCAATTTTAGAAGGCCAGAAGATAAAGGGAAATAACTTTAGCAACTAGTTTAAATTTAACTTGTGCAAGAATAAAATAATAAAAATATGCCATTAAATCTTGTAATCCACAAACGAGCCCCCAAAGCCCAAACTTGAGTTCAAAAATGGGCAAGACATGTTTTTATTTTTAAAAAGCAGCACTGATTTATTTTGTCTTGGACCAGCGACACAGTGCAGTTGGAGTTTGCAAAAGCTGTGTTCCCACTGGATCACAAACAGTCCCTATGCAAGACTCTTACTGGGCCCACAACCAGGTGAGTGATTGGATTAGAAATCATTTCCAGACATGTGTTCTTGAAGGCTGAAGAAGAGTGAGAACTAAACCATTCAATTATTTTAAGTTATCAGTTATTCAATAAGAAAAGAAGGAACAATTTTCTGCCTCCTTAGATGGATTATGAGAGGCATTGATAAAGCATACTTCTTTAGATTCTGATTCAATAGAGGGACAAATTATCCTTAAAGATAAGTTTATTACACAGTCAGCCTCAGCTATTAGAAAAAAGCTACAAAAGATGGCTTTTCCTCCAGATAGTCCACTTGATACTTTATTTATTCATTCATTTTGTGTGTGTTGGAGTTTGTGGATCAAACACAACACACATTTGACAGGCAAGTGATTTTGCTACTGAGCTAAACCCCCAGCTCACTTGATACTTTAGTAAAAGTTGCCTCCTCAGTATTTTATAACTGTGATGAGAGGGAGGTCAAAGAGAGAAAACAAAGAGACTGAGAAAAAGCAGCTGCTTTTGCACAGCATTAAGAGAAACAGACCCTAAGTCTGATTCTCAGGTCTCTAAGAAGAGCTCAACGATGACTTTCACCTGCCATCACTGCCACAAGCCAGGTGACCTTAAGAGGGACTGCACTCAAAAGCCCCCTGGGCCATGCCCTGACTGCAAAGGTGACCACTGGATGTCAGACTGCCCTCTCAGCCCAAGGCCCCACCAGGGTTCAGATTCATCCTACCTTTACCTCTTATCAAAATAACAAATACACCTCAAAACCTAGGCCTCAGTCCGCTTGAAATGCCTTATGGATGCCCTTTCCTCACTGATGATTTTCTCTTTGTCAGAGAAACAGATGCCTTATAAAAAGACATCACCTCATTGGCTAAATTCCAGCAAACTCTTCAAGAGCTTACAGAAGCTCAGCCTACAGAGAAAGGAAAACCTATCTTCCACCCTGGAGATTTAGTGCTGGTAAAATCCCCTCCCTCATCAGCCATTGGGAAGGACCTTACACAGTGATCCTGTCGACTTCTTCCATGCTGAAGACAAGAGGCCTGGACACTCGGATGCATCACACCTGACACAAACCCTGGAAACTTGAGACTATCACTGGATGTGAACAACCACCCACATACTCCTGTGAACCCACAGAAGACCTAAGATTCCTCTTCAAGGAGAAAACAAAGACTTCAGGTAAGTAAGGCTACTATTAGCCCTTTTACTGTTCCCTTCACCACTGAAAGGAGGATGCAACTCCTTTTTAATGTGGGCACAAGCATATGCAAAATCATTACAACACACCTCTTGCAGGATATGTGGCTCACTGCCCTTGTCCAGTACATCAGGACTTCCTTGGTGGGTGTCTCCACTTCAAGGATGTGATTGGAATAAATTACAGGACTATAGTAATGAGATAACAAAGAAGTTCAGTATTCATAGTTCAGCCCACAATTGCATAGTAATAAAATGGCCTCTGAATATTATATTCTTAATGATCCTGTAAATTACATTGCTAATGATCCTGGACATAATCAGATTTTTTTCTTATAATGCCACTGGAGCCTCTCTACAGGCCTGTAAGGCCCCTGGTAGATAAAAAGAAAGGTCCTATCCTAAGGACCAACAACCATAGATATCAATATGGCTATTTTCAAATATGGGATGAGTATCTATGATTAACTCCCACCATAGGATATCTCAGTAGAAAATCCCCCTTATGTTGGGAACAAAAACACCACTTTTATTCTGGTTGGCCTAATGCCACTACCCACCTGGGGTGGACAGCCCTTGAACAATGTGGACACACAAGTAACTTTTCAGGCTAATGACTGGTTTGCAACAGACTGGTTTAATGGCGCTGGAATCAAATGGGGAGCCCCGAATGGCACTCATTGGTCTTGTGGAGCCTATCTGTGGCCCTGCCTGGGCTCTGGATGGATAGGCAGATGCACACTAGGATTTGCATGGTTACAAGGCAGGAGTATCAAAAATGTCGAAAAACCGGCAAATTTACCCATGTACAACATCGAAGGTACAGAAGTGTGTTCCACTGGTATGATCATTTGGCTTCTGTGTTTATCCCTTCCCTAGGATTAGAAGACATCTTGCAATGTACTGAGGCCTTGACTAACTATACCGAGTGGGCCTTAAATGACACTGCTGCTGGTCCCTCTTAAATAAGGGAAAAAAAATGAGACAGGCTGTCCTTCAAACTCAGATGACATTAGACATTCTAACACCAGCACACAGAGGCATTTGTGCCATTGTAAAAACTGAATGCTGTGTATATATACTCCTGACTCTTCTGCTAATATCTCAGTAGCTATTCAAGACATTAGATACCAAGTTAACAATATGTAAGGTTCTTAAGACTCCTGGACCTTGTCTTTCTCCTTCTTATGGAAATCTATTACTAGTTCCTATTGGTGGAAATCTTTGTTACCTATACTCATAATTGTTCTACTGGTTTTATTCTTTGGCCCATACATACTCAACTGTTTCTTTGTCTTTGTCTCCTCCAGACTTAGAGCTGTATGCCTACCCATGATGAAAATGCCTGGTATCTATTGAGGGCCTCTAGACAGGATCTCTGCAGAAGTATCTCTGACTGCTGGTCACCACTACAACCCTCTTCAGCCTGAAGAAGCCAGATCGGTCATCACCCATGACGCCCTCATGGTAGTTCTGGTTACTTCTTCAGAGAAGGGACTGTTATAAGCAGCTGAGTTAGTTAGAAATACTACAGGAAGTGAGACAGGGCTAGGTCCTCAAAGGAGCCAGTGCAGAAGCTCAGATACCTTGCAACTAAGGGGAAGACAAGCACCTGCTGCTGTGGGCCAAGCCTCAAGATAAAAGACCATACAAATACATCCATATCCTAAGGAGTGAAGTTCTAAAGAGTTCCCCAGCACGCTGAGGAAGTAAGGAGTGACATTCCAAACCTTTAGGGAAGATTCACTGCTCTCTAAGAATTCCTGCATTCTAAGTGATTCCCTTCCTGTTTTGTCCTCAGTTTAATCAATTTTACCTGAACTATTAATCTTATTGGTTAGCCTTAGTTTTGTACCACCTTATGCCCATCTGCCTTGTGAGTACCCAGTTTCCCCATGTTAAACCCTTTGTATGCCATGATTTCCTAGAACTGTCTGGAAAATATAGAGTCCCTGGCAACCCGCTTTTGTCTCTCTCTCAGACAGAAGCTTGTTTTCTCTCAATAAATGTATTCTACTCTTAACCTCTGTGGTTCCTAAAATGCATTCTTTGATTTTAGAGGACATGAACTCACACTGGACATAGTGGGCTGGGAATTTCATTCCCTATATCAATAGGATCAGGGCTGAGTGCTGATTCTGGTGTTTTCAACTCCACAGAAGATTAGGCTGATCCCGGCCTCTGGCTGTGGAGCTGACTGAACTGTTCAGCCCAGGACACACTGGATGTGTCTCACCAGGCTGACTTCGGCTCCCTGACCCTGGACACCTCCTGCACTTGTCCCTCACCCAGCCACTGTGGGATTTCAACACTACGAGGACTGAGATGAAGCCAACCTGCAGCTGCTCAGAGTCTCAGATCAGTTGAGCTGTCCCTAAAATGGCTTCTAAAAGGTAGTTGATGGCAGCCCACTGAGGTACTATAAGTGTGGAGAGCAGTAGCTTATATGCTCCAGCCAGCTGCTGAGATCCTTTGGATTGAGGGAAGGGATGGTCATGCCAGTGTAAACCAGCAGCCATTATTAAAATAAAGAACAAAGAAACATATTGCACATACTTAGGTTATGTAATTTGTTTGCTGCTTGTCCTTACAGGACCTCCTGTTTTTACCTTGATGGGGGAATGTTTGAAGGTCTGCACCTTCTACCAAAACACCGTCAACCAGATGTGTGCAGGACAAAATGGAGTCAGTGTGGCTTCTTTACAGGTGGCCATTGCTCCCTTCTGCTGCTGAGGTCTCGCAATCCTTCTATAGGCACTGTGGATTAGTCCCTTCCTTGTAGCTTTTCCATTAGTTCTTAGTTCTGTAGTTAAGAACTACAGTACTTAGAGTGCATTGCAGTTGTTTGTATATCTCTCTCTGCTGCAAGACTGTCTTTTTCTTGAGATGCAAAGTTTTATATGTTCTTGTCTTCTGTTTCTTTTTGGCTGTCCTGGGAATTGGACCCAGGGGCACTGTATCACTGAGGTACAACCCTAGCTATCATCATCATCATCATTTACTTTGAGATGGGGTCTCACTAATTTGCCCATGCTGGCCTTCAACTTGTGATTCTCCCACCCAAGTCTCCAAGTTGCTGGGGTTACAGGACTGCATTACCATTCTTGGCTACATGTTTATCTTTGAATCTCTGCCTACTGTATAATTCCCTACTGTTAATGCCCACCAGCATGTTTTCTTTTTTTTTTTGAGTAATGAAAGGAGTGAATGAATTCACAAGGTATGAGCCCTGAAAGCAGGTTCTGGATGTGGAACGGATAAATCAGCAAGCAAGATACCTTTAATATGAACTCACCTCAAACACTAAATCAATCTGTAGGCAAGAGGACTGAGCATCAGATTTTTTGGGTTGGGGTGTAATTTGTTGGTAGAATGCAAGGCTGTGGGTTTGATCCCTGTTATAACGTGGGCCTTCTTGTCTTTTTTAGTTCTTTAGCGAAGACTAGAGGCGCCTACCCGTGATTAACAGCCCTTGTTAGCTTGTTTTAGCACCACTCTTCTTGTTTGTAGAGGGCCGCTCCGTGATTAACATCTCAATTAAGTGAAATTCTTGCAATTCTTTACAGGGGAGAGTATTGCTCAACATATCAATTGGGTCACTTAACATATCAGTTAAGAAAAGAAAACATTTAGTAAGCCGCGGTACAGGTTTGCTATAATACACAAAATGATGAAGCTACTTTCTTAGAGTACAACATTCCCCTCTGATGTTGTGACTTTTGGGCCAAATCCTTGGCCGTACTTAAGGTCTGCTGGGGACAAGCTCATACGCTTGTTGCCTGACCATCATTAATTTTATACTTTGTACCTGACGCTTGACATATGCAGTCAGCCTATTTACTATGCAGGGGCCCAAAGTAGCTAGCACTAGAATCGCAATGATAGGACCGGCTATGGTCGCTATTATGTTGGTTATCCACGGTGGGAAGGAGAACATTTGCTCTGCCCACCCTAGAGCCCCTCGTCTTAGTCTCTCTCTTTCTTGTATGCCTCTTTGGAGTTCCGCTAAGTTTTGTCTAACTACCCCGGACTTATTGGCGTACAAGCAGCATTGCTCTCCCAGGGCCAAGCACAGTCCTCCTTTTTCAGCTAGCAAGAGGTCTAGTCCTCTGCGATTTTGGAGAGCTACTTTAGCTAATGAGTCCATTGAACTCTCTAAGGCCTCAATAGCATTTTGGACTCTTTTTATTTTTTTATCTACCTGTTGGGATAGCATATTGTATTGGTGTATGCTAACTCCCATGGACGCAGCACTCATCCCGAGGGCTGAGAATACACTGATCCCAGCCATAATAGGGAGGGCTGGACTTCTCTTATTGATCTGGTGACTGGCTGGGATGAGAACCCGGTTCCCTTTTTCCTCGGAGTGCCAGTAGATTTTAGGCAGAACCTGGGTTAGTACACACACCTCATCCTGGTCAACAACAAACTTTTTTGAAATCATACAAGGGAACCATCCTGAAGTACAAGCCCACCAATGGCTGGCCGGGGCTATTAGGGGAGTAGCGTCACCAGCTCCTGTGATGCGATAAGAGTGAGAAAGGTCGCAATACTCAGGGGCTGTGTGGCTAAAATGATATATGCAGGTACCAGTTATCCCCTCTAAACTGGTGCCTTTCCATAGCGATTGGGGAAGGAGCATTTTGCATCTAGAGGGATCAGAGGCTAGTTTGTCAGTGACCGTGATGTAGCCCTCATAGAAGGGGGGCTCTGGGGACATACACAGCCAGCATGGGATTTTTAAATCGCTATCGAGGGAACTGTTAAGTAGCTCAGCTGCTACTTCCAAAGGTTGGAATATTTCCGCTATCATTGAAGGTGGGGCGGAGGCTTTGGGCTCAGTCTGTGCCCGTCTAGACCTTCTCAAACCAGTTTTTGTAGCCCTTGTTGAAGGTTGCATCGAGGTTGGATCGAGGCTAGGCACTCTAATCTCTATCCAGTATGGGATGCCCCCTTCCCCCCTCCATTTACACAGCTTTATCTGGGGCTGGTCTGTGTGGTAAATGCTCCCATTGCATGTGGCCTCAGTCACTTTAGTCGTCGGAGTGTGCCTCCGGGGTCGACTGAGTGGGAAATTAATGGGTGCCTTCTGAGTGGGGGCTGTCACTGGGCGGCGTCCTCTCCTGTAAATGACTACAGGAGGCTTTCTAGGTGGCTTGTATAAGATATTGATACTAATTTCAGGATCATGTCTAGATTTATAAATTTTAACAGCGTAAGTAAGTCCCTGCCCCAGCCACCTAAAATCCGTTGGATTTAGAAAGGTCAGCTGGACTGGGTTACAAGTATAAACACCATAACAGTTTTTGTTTTCTATGTACTTGACAGCGAGATACTTTTCAGAGTTATAGTATCCATCTAGGCCTCCTGTGACACATGACCACGAATAACAATATTGATGTTTTGGATCGGAGGCACAGTACACATTATAATTGGGGTCAGGCTGGTTTTTAGGACATACATACAGGGATGTCTGCTTGAGTTGGAACATAACTTGCAGAGCTTTAGGCCCACGGCCCGAGCAGAGGTTACGGTGGACCGACCCACCTACCCTGCCAGTTGGGCTGTCATCATTAATTATTATCCCATTGAAAAGTATACATAGGTCAATGGTGACTTGATTTATCGTGCCTTTAGCTCTCCCTAGTTCCCTTTTAGTTTTTTCGTCTGAAACAATCTAGTCCCCATTCCCGGGGTTACAATTATAATCGAGCACCAAGCCAAATACCATAGTACAGACATAATTTTATGGCTGAGAGTCCTTTACAAACTTTAACTTTAACGGGTTACCAGTCCGTTGTACTGTCCATCGGGGACCCTTTTCGTCGTCTGTAGCTTCCAGTGGTTTGACTTGTGTGTGGTGGATCCACGCAGTCTTTCCTGCTACCTTGACGGAGGTGGGAGTGCTGAGCACCACGGTGAACGGTCCCTCCCAGCGCGGCTCAAGCGAATCCCGGTGGTGTCGTCGCACCAGGACCGACGTTCCTGGCTCAATTGACGCTTGGGGCAGCGTTCCCAAGGGGGGGTTCGGATGTTTTTGTCTGAACAGCCGGTGAATTGAGGTCAGTACAGGCTGGAGACTCTGTAAGGACTTAATGAGATCTTGGTTAGTTACTTCGGCTAATTTGTCTTCTGACAACTTAGGAACTATAGGTGGGGGTCTCCCGAACATAGCCTCAAAGGGGGAGATCCCAGAAATATATGGGGTGCATCTGGCCCTCAGCAATGCAAAGGGAAGAAGGCTCACCCAATTGTCACCAGTTTTTAAAGACAGCTTAGTCAAAGCGTCCTTAATGGTCCGGTTCATGCGCTCTACTTGTCCCGAGCTTTGTGGCCGATAGGCACAATGGAGTTTTCAACTGATTTTTAATACTTGGGCTAACTTTTGAGTAACTTGGGCTATAAAAGCCGGGCCATTGTCGGACCCCATTGATAATGGGAGGCCAAATCGGGGTATAATCTCATGTAGTAGCTTTTTAACTATAACCAGGGCTGACTCAGACTTAGTGGGGAAGGCCTCTACCCAGCCAGTGAATGTGTCTACCATCACCAGGAGATAGCGGTGTCCCTGTAAGCCAGGTTTTACCATATCCATGAAGTCCACTTCCCAGTGTTCTCCTGGGGAGGTTCCTCGATACCGGGTGGTTTCCAGTGGAGGTTTCCTGGTTGGGTTGACCAACAAACACTGTGGACATCTAGAGCTCAGAGAGGCAGTTAGTTTGGAGAGCTTTGGAATGAAAAATCGATCTCTGAACAATTCTGCTAGTTTAGTTCCTCCTAAATGAGTAGCCTGATGAGCTTGCTGCAAAAGCTCTCGTCCTAGTGCTTTGGGTAACAGCACTCGCTTGTCGGGCAGCTGATACCAGCCCCCTGGAGTGCGGGGTTTGGCTCCAAGTTGAGATGCTAGCTGTAAATCTGTCTTCGAATAAACAGGCTCTGACAAGGCTTGAGGGACTAGCATCAGGGCAGTCATTTTCTCTGCAGGCCCCTCTGATGTGGTTGCTATTTTTCGGGCAGCCTGAT